TAAAAAATTTTAAGTTTAAGAAATCTTGTTTTGCAGTTGTAAGTTCAACAAGGTTCTTACAAGTAATTTAATTATTTTAGAAGTAAATTATTAGAATAAGGAATTTCATAATAAAATAAACAATCTTATTATTATATTTATTGTACCAATAAACAAAAAGAATTCTAATATAGATTATATATTTTTCTTATGTATAAACATTTTCTTCAATCTTATTATATATTGTTACACTATTTTAAAATTAAACTCTTATGTTCATAGATAAATGCCGTCATAATAGAGCCAATTACTGCATCATTAGACTTCGATCGCGAGGGCTATACAGATAAAATTTTAGGAATTCTGAAGTTACCACAAGGGACTATCATTATTGATGATAGTTTTTATTTTGAAGATTTCTTTAACATAAAAAATGATCTTAGTATTGATACCCCATTTAAATGTGGGTCTGAAATAATTTCGACGTTTTCGTTTGGCGCTAATATGGAAAATTTCAATTATTTGATGGATCTCAGTTTAAATATAAAAAATAATTCAGAATGGATAAATGTAAGAATTAATTAATAACTATTAATAAAGTATATTTTATAGCTATTTAAAGATATAGTATTGTAAAGAAAATTTTTTGTCCGTGAAAGAAAAGTTACCTTTGGTACAAATTACAACTGTATAATGTGATCAATATAATTAATTTACATTAAATCTATTTTAATTAATCTATTTTAATTTTAATAAATTTTGTTTGTCATTTATATTTTAAATAGCTAAATAGATATAATAAACACTATAATTTTTAAGCTATAATTTTATTTTAACAATATATAATAGATGTAATTAATTAATATCACGTAATCGTGATATAAATAAGTCATAAATTGAATTCTTGCATTATATCATAATATATGTGCAATATCTGCACTATTAACTTGATACAATTGTTAATTAATTTTTTTCATTTTTATAAGGCGTAAATTTTTATTTATATTCTATCTAATTTTAAGAGATAATATATTTCTTATTTTTATACCGATTTTAATTCATATACTATGATCGTATTAATATTCTTTAAATCTTGTAATACTTATATTATTAATAATACTAATAATACTGATCTAATATTTCACTAAAATGATGTAGTTTGTATTATAATTTTTTTTAATACGCTATAAGGAACTTCGTATATTTATTACAAAATATTTTCATCTTGAATTTACGCCAGTTACACTATAGTTTAATCCATTGGTTTTTTAAATTTTTTTCTGAACGATTATGTAGTTTATATCCTTATAATTTAAAAATCCTAAAGTTAAATTATATTATTTAAATAAATACTTTTAATTTGCGACGAGAGTTATTAATTTAAAACAATTAATAAATTGTAATAATATGATGTCTAATAGCAAATCAATTGTTTTATTAACTACAATAGCAAAAAAATACTTGTTGAAATTCGAATCGAAATATTATTATTTTTGTATGTTGAATACAAAAATCTTTTAATATTTAATATTTAGTATATATATATATATATATATATATATATATATATTCAAAGTATAATAAAGTATTAAAAAATCGCAAGAATCAATGAGCTTGAAATTCTTCGTTGATACATGCAATTCTTTTATTTTTTTTTAATTTAAATAAATTCAATTTAGTATATTAATACGAGTCTCTTTGAAGTCTGTATAGTAGAAGTAATATTGGCAGGATGAATAGCGGCATCGATAATGTACATAAACTTTTTAAATAAAAATCAAATTAACATTATCCTTCAACTATGCAACAAGTTAAAATATTTTAAATGGGAATTCATTTTAGCTTTCTAATGTGTATATATAAATTATTAATATTTAGAAATTTTGTTTATATAAGGCCTTTTTCGATTTTTATAAATTAAATATAATTTAATTTAGCATAATATTTGATATGTTTATTTAGAGTGGATTCTATGTAAACTATACATATCAAGGATTGGAAGAAGGTGATTTGCAATTGCATTTACTGCAATTTGATTTAAAAACACCAGTAAAGTTTCTAAAATATATGAATTCTAAGTCTTTTCTGGAAATTGATGAAAATTATTACAAAACAAATATATCCATACAATCTGTTGAAAGTTCAATAGATTTTGTTGGATCACTTGAGGTAAGTTTTTTTTTTTAAATAATAATTAATGTACAATAACAATTAACAAATATATAAATAATTATATTAAATGTTTTACAAAGTATTTGAAAAATTACAGCAAGATATAAATTTCTACGATCTGGCTTTACAAATGAAAATGAATACTCCGATACTTATCATCTCTAAAACAAAGATTAATGCGAAAAAGGACTATACTGATAAAGAAAAACATATAGAATTTGATATAGATATTGAAGAACCAGAATTAAAATCGGTAAATTTAAATTTAATATGCTGATAATTTTCTCTTCATTATCCTATTATTATAATATTATTAAACTGATAGTATTCTTTATATTATTATATTATTATAGTTTGTATTTCTTGATAAAACAACTACTGTTCTTTAATGCTGTACTCGAAAAAAATTAATTTAGTGTTTCTATTCTCGATATATAAATAAGTTTACATCACATTGGTTTTATGATATTCTAATAATAATTTTTTTTTAAGTAACATCTTCTTAATAATTCTATCATTAGAAATATATCAAATTATTATTCTTTTTATTATAATACTTGGTTGTAATTTATTATTTTATATTTTATATATATACATATATATTACAATTATTATATTATATTAACATTATTATATAAAATTATTATAGTAATAATTGTAGTAATAAATGTAATTACTATAATAAGTAATTAAACTAATAGTATGTATATTATGTAATAAACTGTAATATTTGCAAATTGTCAATTGGTATCGCCCCTATGCAAAAATAGAAAAAATGTTTATAGCTATATTATTAATAAATTAATAACATCACTAATATAAATAAATACTTTATTATTTATAGATTAAATTTCAAGTGAACTGGATAATTGAAGAACACATGATGAAGGGATTAATGGTATTGAATACTTGGTTAGAACCATTAATAGATCTTGAAGGTTCAATTTTGTATGATAATTCTGTGCACCTGGATAATACTATAATCACTAATGCATATTTCAAATATTACGGGAATCAAAATTATAAATTGACCGGTCAGCTCAAAGATGGAAAAATAAAAACTGATTTCTACATGCCTATTTATCCACACCAATTGATTTTCAATGGGAATCTTGTAAAAATTAACGAAAATCTATATGAGGTTGTTGGCAATTTGACGGACATTGAAAAATCTACAGATCTACAAATTAAGAGTTCTATTCAGCTTGAAAATAGTAAAATTATATCGATTGACATTAACACAATACCAAAAGTAGTATCGAAGTTAGAAAACCAACAGCATTCTATTCATTTTAAATTGAAAAAAGAAATGTATGGTTTGGCTTTAGAAGGCGAAAGTCAAAAGGTAAATGGAAGTGTTAAAATGAATCTTGTTAACAGCTTAAATTGGGATTTTCAAGCTCAACTTTCTCAAGAGCATAACCGGTCGTATGATTTAATTACTTTCATGAATGTTCAAGTTAATGGTAATACAACCTTATATCTTCGAGCTAATACACCCTGGAAAAAAATCAAGAATCTTGTGTTTGATAGTAATTTATTATTAAATAGTGAAACTGGTAGTGCCCATGCTAAATATCAACTAAATCAAGATTCTGGTTATATTTGCTTTCTTTGGCATTTATTTTATCTGTCAGACATGCTCGTTAATGTTACATTTGATCATCGAAAAGATACAACAAATACAAAAGATATAAAGGCGATAATATTTTACATAAATCCTAAAAAAGCTTTCAAGAACATTAATGTAGGTTTCAACGTGAATATTGATAAAGATAAATGGAGATTCGGAACAAATGCTTCGGTTGGTCTTCTCGATCAAAATAATTTCGATGCATTACTAAACGTTCAGCTACCACAGAACACAGATATGCATAATTTACTTTTAAGTTATCATGCTAATAATAACTATAATTATTTGTCATACGTTATTGGTTATAGTACCGACGTTAGCAAATCAAATTATGCATCCGATGGCTCGGTACGTTTTTAAATTATAAACTTTTAATTTTTAGTTAATAAATATTAAATTTAATGTAATTATATTTAAGTAATAACATTTTCATTAAAATTTTTTATTATAAATAATATTAAATTATTATTTTTAGAAACATAAAAGAAATAGATATTACAAAAAATATTCAAATACAAATAAAATATGAATAAAAAAATATATAGTTTGAATAATAATTACCATTTTTAAACTATATTAAATGTTATATTTAGCTATAAAATAAAATATATTTTCCAATTCTTTTAAATAGTTTGACTAATTTACATCATTTACGTTTTACATTTATAAATTAATTTACATTAATTGAACCCAATAATTTCTCTATTACTAAGAGATAAATATTTTTAATTAATATATGAAATCGAAGTAATTATATTATTTATGCCTGTATATTATATTATTAAAATAAAACTTATTTCAATATATTCTATAATAATATTTAAATAATAATAGTTTTATTCGTTATCAGTGTTGCTTTTTTCAACACTGTATATACAGATAAATAATTTACTATAGAAGGAACTTAAAACAAATACAATATTTATAAATTTTATATAGTATTTAATATAAATATTAAATAGCACTTATAAATTTATAAATACTATTTATATATATTTCTTAAAATATTAATTACGTAATAAATTAAATAAATTTAATATATTAATAAATTAATTAATGTTTAATCATTTTTAAACTAGATAAATATGGATACTAATGATATAAATGGACATCTTCGACTCACTTGGGGATTAAAACGAGACCAAAATCTCAATAATCTTTTTAATATAACATTTGATAGCAAACAAATTGATTTTAAATATGCATTATTTACACGGAAGTTTTTGAAAGAAGAAACGTTTCTACTTTTCGCTAAATATAATGATAAACAGGAGCATTTGACTTTTATCAATACAGATTTGTATTATCCAGCTCGGAATCGCATAGGATCTGCTAATATATCTTATCACAGTCTAATTAATATAAATGGTACTATAAATGCATGGACGCCTTTTCCAAACTTTTCAAATATTAGTTGCAAATTTATAGTTTCTACTACTTTGTAAGTTTTTCATGAATATTATATTCTTTAAAATTTTATATTTATTTTACATTATATTTTATTAAACCAGAATATGTTTTAATTTATATTTCAGTAATATTTATTTATTTACTTATTACTATAATATTATATAATTCTTATAATTTTATATATATGTTGTTGCATAGTATTGATAATTTAACAATTAAATATTCAATTACATTAATATGGAAAAATTTTATAATGTTACAATTATAATAAATATATCGACAAAATATGTTTATAATGAATTAATGTTACTCCTCTAGAAAACAAAATAAACGATTTCTTCAACTCTTCTGGCAGAACAACTCAGCGCTCATAGACTCGGATTATACATATAACAGTGAACGTCTAAATTCAAATCTTGATGGTTACATTCGTATTGAATTCCCACTAAATACATGTCACGAAGGTCTCTTTACATATGGTTATAAGAAACGACCATTGGTAACTGTAGGCTATTCGGATCTTAAGTATAATAATGATAAGATTATAGAGGGACTGTATAATGAAAAGAGTGAGTCCCGGGCTGGTTTTGAAAAGGATCGTATCGAAATTAGTATAGAAAATTCTTTTCGACCTATTGGTATTGTTTATGTTAATCAATACGAATACAGCGCCGGCAATGAAGGCACTAACTATCCAACATTGGAATACAAAGAGGTAATACAATTTTAATAAAAAGTGCACATATTTTTACGCAATACTATTTTTATTTCATAAAAAATAGTTTATTTGACTATTAGATGTCGTACAGAAATTATATTATATATATTTTTTTATAATAAATGTAATGAAATTAATGTTTATTTTTATATAAATATAATTTAATATTACTTAATACTTCTGAATTTTTAAGTACATTATAATTCATAAGATAACTTATTTGGAATAATTCATAAAAAATAATATATTAAAGCCATTAATATAAATCTAAGAGATGCATTATTTTTTTTATAAAAAAATTATAGTACACTGTATTTCGTATAAGAAATCAAAATTTTAAAAACAACTTGAAAGTTTTTTTTGTACAATATATATATATATATATATATATATACTGAAACTATTTTCATTTTAACTGTAGGTAAACATCTACCAATTAAATAATATAAGTGCTTTTAATGTCTCTGGTACGTCTAAAATACGAACGACTCACACTGGTCAAGAAATTCAACTAACTGCTGTACATTCTAATCGCACCGTTAAGTTCCATACCGATTTCAATATATTATCTGGAGAATTCGATCAAAATAGCTGGTTTAGTTTAGCTGATGATGCATGGATCTCATATCACATTAATATTCTAAACAAAACAACAAATGAAGTGGAAAATCAATTCATAATTTTGAGCTTAGTTTATCCCAAACGAAATTTCACGATCAATGGTTCTTACCTTGTTACTGAGTCAAAATTAAATTCTGAAGCTAAGCTTATGTGGGAGAGCGATGAAAAAGCACTAAAAGTTGTAGGAGCTGCTTTTGATTGGAAAAACGTATCATCAGAACAGAATATCATAAAGCAAATGGCAGTATTAAGTATCAAGCACCCAAGTTTCAAGAAAGATGTTAAATTTTCAGGAACATTGGCACGCAGAGACATCCATGATTTATTGAATATCGGTTTGACAGTAGATTACTCAACACATGAAAGCAAACTTTTAATTCTTTCAGCGATCGTCCGAGATGAGAGTAACTGGCCGATTGAAAGAAAATATAGTTATTCCATCACTGGTGAACATCTAAAAACACAATTAAATATGAATATAAATGGATACTTTAAAAAGTATAAGACATCTTTGGTTGAAACAATAAATAGTGCTCATTATAAACGTAGTTTTCTACCTGAAGAAAATGGTAAATTATTAGGTCGTATTAATTTAAATAAAAATGAAGTGGAATTCAGTCGAATTAACAACGAATATGTAAAATATCTTCAGGCTAGGTATTATGCAAATTACCCTGAGTATATTATAAATGGTAGTATGATCAATGGTCGAGAGCTTAATGCAACGGGAGTCTTCTTCATTAATTTACAAGAGAAGCTCACATGGATGATGGTCAATTATACTCCGGGTATGAGATTTTCATTGGCTATAATGCTTTGCACGCGACAGTATTGAATACAAAATTGTTATAAAAAAAATTATATATTAATAATTATTCGTGAATTGTATTTTATTTATTCAAATATGTCTATTTTATTATACTTAAAGTTTCATTTATATCAAAGAAATATATTATTTACTCAAAAATAGCTCTAAAAAGAAGAACAACGATATAATTTAAACTAATTTTAATAAGTAAATATGATTAAATTATTTTTATCAAATTTACTCAAAATCAAAAACTTTTTTTCTAAAATAAATAAAAAATTGTATTTTATTTTGAATGAACTAAAATAAAGCATTATTAAATCAACTTAATAATAAAAATAGTCATTATTTTAAAAAATAACAAATTTATAATTGTTGGCAGATGCTATCGAGAGTCTGAGAATGTATGGAAACGTACCAGATGCTAGAAACGCTGAATTTGATATTTGGAGAACATATGATCAAGATCTTTCAGTCTCTGACGTTTCATTTTACGTACGTCTCAATCATTCTAGACTTGTTACATCCAAACTAAAATGGAGACCAAAACTTAAATCAGATGTCATTGTAAGTTATATCTATTTTATATTTTATTAAGATAAATGGTTCCTACATATTAAATCAATTAGTATCTAAATTATAATACATACAAATAAATGCTAACGTATCTTTAATCTGATGCATTATACTAATTTACAAAGTGCCAAAGGATGTTAAAATGTGAAAGTTGCTAGGAGAAAAATAAAATTCAAAAAGTAATTATAAATTTCTAATTATTAAATTATGAAACTTGAGATTCAAATAATTTACTACGTTTAAATAGCTGAATGAATATTCTCAATGAATCTCTTTCTTTACTTTATTAAATATTACTGTATAGGTTTTTTGAATGAATGTAGATTTTAAACTACTTCATCTGTGTGTGTCTTTGCGTGCGCGCGCGTGCATGTGTCTACGTAATATTTATTCCTAATGTAAAAAAAAATAATATTGTATCTCTATAATATCATTTATAATTAAATTATTATATTATTAATCATATCGATATTTAAAACATACAAATATTAATTATAATTTTCCTTACACTAATTTATAATGGCAAATATTTATTTAAAAATTCTAATTCTTATTAATGAAATAATTTTATTATACAGAATATTATAAAATCTAGTTTTACGAATTCTTACGACGAATTAAGCAAAGATATTGATTATTGGAGACATTACATACGCAGTGAAACAATCAGTGTTATATCAGACATTTGGACTGATGCGCAAGAAGAATTGGAAGAGTTTTTAACCGACCTCAAGTAAGATAAATAATATTTTTACATATTTTATATATTTAAAATCATATTATATTATAATAATTCTATTATTGAATAAAGAGTCGAAGTTAGGCTTTCTAAACAATAGGATTATAGGAGACAATTAAAAGACAAATATATTTAAATTAAGTTTTAAACAAATAAACGTATCATTTCTTGTATCTCTTGTATATATTGTAATATTTTATATGAATTCTTTTATATTAATTAATAGTAAACATCTCTTTCACATAATTTTTATAAAATAATTTCGTTAAAAATTTTAAATGAAATTTTTGTACTATTATTATATAGTAAATAATAAAGAAACGATAAAAATATCGATAAATATATAAATAAACGATAATAATAAAGATAACATATAAATAAAATAAAATAATGATCAAACTAATCATAATTCTGATGAATAATCACCAGCTTCTTAGCTTTAATACATCTATATATTTAAATAATATCAATATAAAATTAATTGGTATTTTTATCAATTTTTATCATTTCATCAATTAACGTAAATTATTTACAATATTATCTTTACTGTACAATAATGTAAGATCCTTGTTTTTAATATTTCACATGTTGTTTATTATATAATGCAATTAAAAGTATCTAATTGCTTTAAAAATGTATGCACGTTACATGACAACTGCTGATATATTCATAATAAATAAAAAAATCTGTCGTTTTTTAAAAATCATGGCAACGTTATATATTACTTAAGAAAATTAAATAAATTTACTTAAAAAAATTATCGTTATTTTTTAATTCTATTTAATATTTTTAAAAAATAGAAAATTAACCAAGGATTTTATTAAATTTATGTTCTGAAAAATATAATTAAATATAAAAAATATAAATAATATTAAGATATTTAAATAAGTATCTCTTTCATTTACAGCGATTTACGAATAATTGAGGGTGACTTCAAAAATCTCAAAATATATCTTAATAATTCCTATAACGCTAACGAATTCTACATTAAAGATATAGTTATTATGGGTATGTACGTGATTGATGAGTTATCGCTTCGCAGTCATATTCAGTCTCTACCTAATATTATCAATGAAATTTGGGAAATAATGGGGGAGTCAGGTGAAGCTATTCGTAACTCCCTTCTCTGGATTATCGAGACAATCAAGAATGCCTATCAAAAACTCTCTGAGATTACTAATGCGGTTCTCAGAGGTGATTCAATGAATCAAATTGCTAGCATTGTTGAGAAGTTTATTATCAAATACGATATGTTTGTAAAGGAGCTACACGTATCTTTTATCAAATATATCGAATATTTGTATAATAAGATCTATCAATCCATTTCTCTTCAGGTACATTTTATTATAGATATAATATTTATATATATATATATATATATATATAGGTATATTTCTTTGACAGTTTTTATTTTTATTGTTTATTATTTTTATGAACATGTATAAAAAAGTTAATTTAATATTAAAAAAGAATTATTAATTAGCTTTTAATTTCATTTTTCATTTTATCAGAATTATTTTTCTAATAAATTAAACAATTTCTTAAATATTCATTATCAGGATAAAAAAATATTTATGTATATTTAAATGTGTTATTAATTAATAAAAGATTTATTTATTTATCAAGTGGCATCGATTCCTGATGCATATAGAGCCAATCTTCATTAGGCTTGCTCATTACTTGGAAACCGTCGGATGGAAAGCTATTCAAGAGTTTTTCAACTTCCTCTACGACCGTAAAATTGAACTTATCACTTCACCTTACTACGATCAATTCTCTAACTTTACTCAAGATATAGACAAATTTTATCGAGATATCAAAGCCAATGATATCATCACTAATATTCAAAAATACTCTACCACCGTGATTCAATTCATTAAAGAACGTTATTTTGCTTTTGTACCTTTTGGCAAAGAGCTAAAGGATGTTGTTGATGAAATAATTACAGAGCTTAAAGAATTAAAGAAGCTACCATCAGTAAAATATGCTTCAGAAAAAATTCAACAAATTTACGAAAGGGCTTTATACCTTTACGAATACTTTGAAGTTAGAACAAAATTAGAAAGCACAGTAAGATTAATACATTCTAAATTAATGGATATTAGTCAAACGGCATTACAAGCTGAAAGTAGATATAGAGAAGCTAAGACAAAATTTATCTATGACCCAAATCATGGTCTCATGTGTCTAGAGCAAAAGTTACCGATGTCCTGGCACGCATTTAATCAAACGCCAGAATTTCAAGAAATTCCAGAATACAGAGCTATTGTAGATATGGGTTCATATTTTACTTCTTCTAACACAACTTTCTGGACACTATACTATCAAATAAAGCCACTTACTGAACCGTCTAATTGGTTACCACCCTTCAAAGGTAAAGCAATGTGTACAAATATTTAAGTTATTAAAAACTACTTAAAAATAATTATCACATCTTTTAAATTGATCATTATGTTTAATTATAAAAATATTTTAAGTAGTATTATCATATAAAAATGTATTATTAAGAAAATTGATTACAAATATTAAAAGAAAAAATTAAAATTTAATAAATTGTAAATAATATAAACGTATTATATTCATAATATAGAGTACATGAATTAAAAAAAATATGAATTTTAATTTCATTATATATTTTTATTCGCCAATGCGTAAATCGTCTTAAATAACTTAACAAAAAAAAAAACAATACTAAATAATCACATTTAAAAAGAAATATTATAATCAGCTATAATAAAAATATTATATTTCTTCAATAACAATACATTATGTTTTGTACATTTGAAAATCTAAGTAATGAATTCAGTTACAAAATTGAAAAAATTCTTAATTACATACATGCAACACTTAAATAAATAAGCTTTGATATAATATAAATACTGAATAATTAATTAAATAATTTATATAATTACTAACTGACTACAAAAATAATAAAAAATAATAATTCAAAACAATTATTAGTATAACAAATATTAGTTCATTTAATAATGATAAAAAGTAACAAAGATTAAAAAATTAAATTTGATAAATAGTTGTGAATATTTTCAGTTCAAAGTTAATTATATTCTAAAGAAAATAATAATAAATAAATAAAATAAAAATTTTGTTTTTATTAGATATTAACTTGATTTTATACACAACTGTAGTGAATGTCAAATAAAATTATAAACATTTTTATAACTAGAATATTAAAATAATAAATACAATAAATATTTTCAGCTCAAGCCATGATAATTGGTGGCCAACATTTTCGAACATTTGACGGACGATATTTTGAGTTCGCTGGTTCCTGTACATATCTTGCTGCACATGATTTCGTTCGAAATCACTTTGCCATTTTGATTAAATATGAGCGTAATGCCAGTAATGCATCTCCAACTTATAAAATCATCGTTTTGGTAGGAAAAAATGGTATCCAAATAGATGTATTCAATGATGTAAGTAATTTATGATAAATGGCAACTCAAAAATATACAATAAAAACAATAAAATCTATTGACCATATTTGTATTAATAATTGATATAATATATTCTTCAAGCCAGTATCAGTAAATATTTTTATTTAGTTAAAAAAGTTAATTATGAGAATAAATAGAATTAAATACGTCTTATATTTTGATATCAAATTTAAAATCTTACAATATTATACAAAAAGAACTTTTAATATTATTTATTAAATATAAAATGCTATTGATAAAATATTTTATTGTTAAAAATCAAAACAAATTAATAATACTACAATGATATTAAATTTGTAATATTTATTTTTCCTTTCTAATGGACAAAACATTAGAAGAATATAATATACTAACAAGTATATATATATATATATATATATAATAATTAACATTACTATAATACTTTAACAAACCAATAAATAAAATCAAAGTATGAACGAAATTTCAGAACGTTAAGCTCTTAGGACAGAATGCGAGTCTCCAATTGCCAACTGAACTTGAAAACGGTACGGTTTTCGTTTATCAGGATGACAGCATTGTTAGCGTCGAACGTAAAAATAATCAGCTGAAGCTTGAGTGCAACCTGAAGTATGATCTTTGTACTCTAGAGCTTGCAGGTTGGTACTACGGGAAAACGGCCGGTCTCCTTGGGACAATGAATAACGAGCAAATCGATGATTTTCTCACATCAAATGGTCGTGTAGAGCAGAATATTGGTCGATTCGCGCAAAGCTGGTCACTCGAACTTGATGAATGCACGAATAGTGAGAATCTGGCCGTGACGCGATCGAGTGATATCGAATCAGACTTTTGCCGTGAGCTCTTCACTAATAAGAGCTCCGAATTCAGTGCATGTTTCGGTATAGTTGACTCTGCAGCTTATCGCTCGATGTGTGCGAACAGTGTAAACGAACGCGAAGCTTGCGGAGTGGCTATGTCATATCTGCAAACATGCATGTTTCACGATACATATTTAAGGATACCCAACGAATGTACAGCTTGCGGTATGAATGGAACCGGTATATCCCAAATCCCGGAAGGAGACTTTCTTAAGTTGGAAGGTAAAATTAAAAAGCTTTTTTTGTTCTCTAATTTTGTAACTGTTCATAAGCTATAGAAATTATATTTTTAAGTTATTGATGTATACTCTATTTAATGTCTTCTTGAACTGTAATAAATTAACGATTTTAATGACGAGTCTAAGGATTTTAATTTATAAACGTGAAAAATATAATAAATGCTGGCAAAAAGATAAAAAATTCATAATTTACGAATATTTTTAAATAATTAAAATTTATCGCCATAAAGGTAGCGTTTAAAATCATTATTTAGAATCATTATTGGATAATGAATAGCGTTAAACTAATGAAAAATGTACTAACAATTTCTGAATATTCTGGAAAAATATTAATATTTCTCAAAATTATTATTTTTTTATGCTTTTTCTATATAATTTTATGCATTATGGAATTATAGAATATACGGGAAATAAAAATATATTATTTCTTAAATCGTAATCCATATTCTTCATCTATTTCATTATTATAACATCTATCTACTATATCAATCATTAATTTTTTCACTTAACATTATATCATTTCTAACCAATTGGTAACTATTAATTCAATCGATCTTCAAATCAATATTTTACAAATAAAATATAAAAATAATGTTTACCTGCAAATACTCCTGTCATAAATATATCACTACCAGGAGAGACAGTACCACAATCAGCGGACATAATCTTCATTGTCGAAGCAAAAGAGTGTAATCGCGGAATCAGACAGAATCGCAGCATCGATCAACTTATCATGCACATCGACAAGGAATTGAATGATAATAACCTCATAGATAATCGTTGGTCACTCGTAATTTTTGGAGGCAACGGAGTCTACGATAAGCCCAGAAGCTTGATCCTTGATAATAAGATTTTTACGAAAAACGCCATTCATTTCGCTGACTATTTTGATCACATAATTGTTGGTGACGGAAGTCAAGATATATTCGAAGCAATTAGATTTGCTGCTCAGCTCGTTTTTCGAGCTGGTGTTTCAAAAACTTTCATACTCATGCCCTGTTCCCACTGTGAAACCGATAAACAAACGGTGAGATATTTTATTAATTAATCCATCCTTTCTTTTCAAATTAATTTAAAATTATCTTTAAAATTCAAATTTTAAATCTTTCTACGATATTCTATTTTTTTTATTTAGCAATTTGAAAAATAGTATATTTCAATTCTTACTTTACCGCCTTGTCGATCTTTTTAATAATCGATACAAAATGCAATTCTTAATTTAACTTTACAAATAAAAATTGAGCCTATCTTTGCTAACGTAGTTGTATTTAAAAAAAATTTTAATTTATACTACCATAATCGGCAAATGGTACGGTTCTGTTGTTACATGAAGATTTATCGATATAGTTTAGCTTTAAATAATAAATATTCAATTATACACTTCATTTAAAACGAAACGTTTTATTTACTCACAGTTAGACTACTCAGTACTATACCATGCACTTCAAGAGCGAGGTATCACTTTGCATATCCTTATGGACGGAGAGTACAAATTTGAAAAAGGTAGACTAAATAAGATATTCTACGGCCTTGATGCTACGCGATCCTATACAAAGAAGGACTCGCGTGTGCTCTTGGGTGACGTGGAACTTCGTCGACAGGTAAAACTGTCAAAGAACGCCTTAGGTTATTGTACACCATTGTCGCTCGAGACGAATGGTGCGATATTCAGCGGAAGTAAGTTGCGCACTCTCGAGAAACTCGGCTCTATCAAGAAGTTTGCTAGCGTCTTCGCCAAGAGATTGGCTTTAACTGCCCAGCCGAGCTCTTGCCAGCTCTGCGAGTGCATTGCTGACAATGACGGCATCACCAAAATGGAATGCGCACCTTGCGACTACCCAACGCCTATAACTGTAGATTTTGTAAGCGTAAGTCTCTTCATATAATTTTTAAATCAACTTGGTAAAAGTAGTAACTTCATACCACATAAGTTCTGCAAAAAAGTACTGAATATCAAGGATGTTGAAAAGGTAATGAACTACACCAAATTGGTTCCACAGATAACTGTATACACAAATACTTTTTAAAATAAAGCAATAACTTGTATAATCAATAATACATTTTAATGTATTATTTATAAAAAATATAGTATAGCTGCTGTTTTTTTTTAATATAAATATTTTAAATACAACAGAACATTTATGTACCATAATTTCATTCGCGAATTTTGTATCTTCAAACATTCGTGTTCACTTGTAATTTATTTGATCTTTTAGAAGTGTATAAGAATTTAATAAAATTTTCTTTTTATAATAATTTATATTTTGGACGATTTAATTCAATATAAAATAATTTGAAACAATTTTTGAAGAGTTTCTTACTCATCGGAACTTTTTATTCTTCTAATAAAATCATAATTTAAAATTATCTATATTTCAATACAAATTTCTATTGATAAAATTAATTGATATATATATATATATATATATATAATCATATATATATAATCATATATATATATATATATATATGATTATTAATTTAATAACCTAATCTTTTATTAAATACTTGAAATCACTCGAGTACATAATATAGTATAAAATATATTTGACTATTATCTTATGTTTATCGTTCAGATAAAATTTAATCTTGAATTGATTTGGAACGAAAATAAAAGAAATATGAGTTGTAATCAAATATAGTGATTGGTATATTAGAGAAAATTGATGATTATAACATTTAAAATTAAAAGATTTATATAGTCAAATATTCGATTTATAGGGATATTATCTCTCGTAAATCTCATAATTAGTATCAAACTTTTATTTCTCCCATAGCCATATTTAAGATATGCTCGATTATACAAAATATTGTCGTAAGAATTTATTTATGAATTATTTTCTTCAAAAGACCCTTCTCTATAAACTAAAAATTTTAAAAACTTATTACCCATCCTTCATTGACAATATCATGTTTGCTTATAATAAATATATTAAATATTTTTTTATCAATATTTAAATATATTAAATATTTATTAATAAAAATATTAAATATTTTTATTAATATTTGTTGATAAATATCTTTTTTAAAAACTATTTTTTTAGAATATAATTATTTATTGTAAGCATAAAATAAAAATTTTTAGAGAAATTTATAATACTTCTATTTATATAAATCATCGAAAAAATTTTGTATAGTTCATGATGATACGACTTCAATACATTACAAATTAAATATCTGTAAAAAAATATAAACTATTTGTTTTACATAAATGTATCAATTATATTTTATTTGCAGTTTAATAAATAATATATTATGATATATTATTATACATATTAATATTAAAGCATAATATATTTGAAGATTTTAACAAACTTATAATAAAATATATTATTGAAATTGAAAAAATTAAATACATTTGAATTAGTACATAATTTTTTATTAAAATATATAAGAATGTAATAAAAAGTAGCTTTAAATAATTTGAAACGTAATTTATCATAATATTTTTATTAAATATTTTTATTTATATAATAAACATTCTATAATTATAAATACAAGTCTTTATTGTGTAATTCGTTGTAAATTTGAAAAACACATCACCTTATGAAGTAAAGTACAAGACTAATATATTTTCAAATTTATCAATATATTTTTTATTAGTTTTATAAACTGTATATATTATCCATAAAAATTGTCTATTATAATTCATTGTATTTGAATAAGAATGCAAAATATAATAATTCATAACAACGAGAATAAACTACTAAATACGTCAATTATTTTTTAATAATACAAAATTTTAACATAAATCTTCTAAATCAAAAATAATTCTTCTTATCCATTTATCTGTTAATATTTATTTTTAAATATTCTTTATTTTAAGAAAAATGAAATTTTGTATGATGTTAGATAAGAGAATTCACCATAAATCACTCTATTGTTTAAAAAATGCTTCAATATTTATAAAGTATTAATTTTGCGTAGACTATCAGAATGATCAAAATGATAAAGATATTGATATTGTAAATGTTGTAATTATAAAATTGCTAATTTTTAATATTTTTATTTCATTATGCATATTTAGTATAAAAGGTTAATATTTAAAATAAATGAAAAATCGTAAGAAAATATAGTTTAGAATTTTAATTGTTATAAATGATATCAATTTTACCTTCAATACTCAGTAACTTATTTATGAACAAAACGAATATCAAAACCATAAAAACACTTTATTTAAATTAAAAATGAACTAATACTTCATAATAGTATAAACTGCATAAAAATATTATCCAATTATTCGTCGTAAGCAATTAAAACATAATAAAAAACGTTTTTAATATATTTATACAGGAAACTTTCAACGAAGATGATTTAACGGGACTACAATCCATCGATGTAGATTATGGCCAAATAGATGCAGATGAAGATTAATCAAATTTCACTGTATTACTTCAATATATATAAAATATATGCTATTTTAAATTATTAAACACAAAGTTTTATTGTAAAAATCTATTACATAATAAATTTGTATTTGTATTAAATATTAATATAAAAGAAATATTACATATAAATATTTCATAAATTATATAATAATTGGCTTAGTAATCATAACCAATAATTTTTTATATATAAAAGTTATGTAAACATTAATAATATATGAAATATGTTTTACTGTATTATTGTTATAAATGGAACTTTAAAAAATAAAACATTATATATAAAAGGACGATTTTTATAAGTGGTATTTTCATTAAATACATGTATATAAAAATGGAAATCAATATTGTATAAAATCTGAATTTAATATTTTTTTATTTAAATCACAAGAGGTTATATTATTATTCTTTAATATATTGATAAACAATTTTATAAACTTAATTTTAAAAATTTCGTTATAAAATACTTTAATTTATGCAAAATAATTTTATAGCAAACCTACTATATAACAATGTCAAAATTAATTTTAATTTCATACAAATTATATTTAACAAAATAATTTTTATAAGCATAAACTAAAACGTTTTCATTCATAAGCAATAATTTACAAATTTTTTTAAACTATCGATTACACCTTTATTAAAAAACAATAAACTTTTTATAATCGTTAACAAATTGTTAATTAATCTCTTATTTATTTGGACAACTGAATATAACATTTATATAACTATTATAGCCTTAAGTTTATATAAATTTTTAAATATTTATTCAAATGAAATACTTTTATTATAAAGTTACTTGTCAAGATTCTCATATTAAATAAAAATAACAAAATTCAAAATAAAATTTTTTAAGAAGATATTACTTATCAGTCTACTATCCATGTAAACTTTACAGAATTAAATTATTGTTGGCAATTATAAAAATTTTGAAAAAAAATTTTATCACAGTATATAAAAGAAATTGTACAAGTTTGTCTGTTATATTATACATATTAAAAGATTAACATTACTTTTAATTAACGTATCAGTAAAGATTTTTAAATTGAATGAAAATTGTGTAAATAATATCGAATATATTATAACAAAACATATATTTTTTTAAACTTTCACTATTCCTATAACTATTTTAAAAAATCAATTTAATTTTTCATTATTTTTACAAATTTTTTAATTAAAGTAATTGTCTAAAAAATATTTAATGTTTAATTTAAATAAAAATATCATCTCGGTTTATATTCTAGATTCAAGATTTACAATGGTATATATTGAACAAAACAAAATTAATGATAAATTAGCTTCTTCATAAAAAGGATATATATATAGTTCATAAATTATTTAATAAAATTAAGAATTATAAGAAATTAAGAATTATAATTAATAAATCATAGTTTTTTTTTGTACCAATGTGATTTTTAAAACATAGCTTTTTCAGAATTATAAATTTTGATCTATGAATTGTATTAAACTTTACCAATATAACACTCAAGTAAACTAAATTCAATAATATTTACAAATTATCAATAAACAATTCGAAATTGATTTAATAATAAGATTATTAAAAATTAGGGATAATTAAAGAATTAAATAAGTATCAACTTATAAATCATGAAATAATAATTCTAGTTTATAAATATTATAATGTTAATTAATGACAAATTATAAAAATTTAAGTCACTTAAAAATTTTAAAAAATACTTTTGATTTACTTAAAATACACTTCACCAAATGGTCCCGATATAAATCCAAATTAATTTAATGTTAAGTACGAAATTGAATTTCCAAGTATGCTTTAATTAAAAAGTATGAATATAAAATACTTAAAATGTTTTTCTAAAATATTTAAATATGAATATATGAATATTCTTCAAATACAGATAGAAATTTGTTATGATTTAAACATTGACTTGAAAGTTAGTATTTTTTAACAAGGAGTAATTATATACTTTTCACTTTTTAAGTGACTTTTTTAATTTATTTATTAGAATTATGTATTTGTTTTGAACACTTTTGGATAAGACCTTTGTATTATGCTTATAAATATTATTATATTTAACAATGCCACTTCATAATTTATAAAATGAATATATATTAAATTTATGTAGAAATTTCTCATTAAAACAAATTTGTTTGATAAATATACTAATTCAAAATAAAATTAACTTAAAAACCTGTGTATACGTAAGAATATACAGATATATATTTTTAAAATAGAACAAATTCACCTAGTGAATATAATAAATTTTTAAGAAAATTTTATTTTTTTAGGAATATACTTTTATAAAAATTTTAGAATTTGAATTATTAAATGGATTTAGAACTTATAATTAAAATCCTGCAATAATATAATTATAAAATTCTATATTGTAATAAATTACATAAATTTTAAATTATTATTCTTGGAGGACAATGATTATAATCGAAATAATTTATATATAATACATATTTTTCAATATCCATTTTTTACAGTACATTGTTATGTAATAAGACAAAATTCTAAAGTATTTTAAATTTTTTATTCTTCTAATATCAAAATATAGCTAAATTCATTGGTAAAAAGTTCACTTTAAATTACATTTTAAATAGATAAATTAAAATAATAAAGTATTTTTAATTAATATATACACACCATACATTTATTTAACAGATTCTATGAATATATTGTAATAAAATTTATATTGAATTCATATTTTTTAAAGAAACTTAAATACTTTAAACAGAAAACCTATATTTATACAAATTTATTAATAATATTAGTGATATTTTAATGAAATACTCAACACATATCATTATATAATTGCATAATGTTGTTAAAGAGATTCGTAATATAATACTAAAAGCAAGTTTATTATTTTTTAATTTATAATTAAAAATCTAATTATTTTGAAATTCATAAGTTTAAAAAAAAACTATTTGGAGCAATGGATTTAAATTATTTGTTACATCTGAAATAAAATTTATTAACACCCCAAAACATAATTACTAGAATTTTTAATAAGACAGTTTAAATATTAAAATTGTTAATTTATTTGTTGATGTGTTAAATGATAATTACTTATTAATAATATTATATAATAAACAAAGAAATTTTGTAAAGTCGTTAATGAATAAATTTTATAGTTTAAATACCTAAATAATATAAATCAAAAGGAAATTTATGAAGATTAAATAACAATACATACTCCATACTAAAGTGAACTAATTACAGTTGAATTATCTATTTTGGATATTAATAAAAATCGCATTTTTTAAGTAAAGGAAACACTGATACTGATCATGCTGACGAAAATTATGATTATAATAAAGTACTGAATTTAAAAACAATTAATTAATTGATAGTAAATGAAATTTAAAAAATTCAATAGAAACAAGATAAAAATACAAATATAATATTCGTAAAGTTTATACATTAACTCGATGAAATATTGAACAATTAGGTAGAATATCGTTCATTTGGCAACTATTATAACAATGATTAACGAAAAAAATGGCTAACGAATTAATAAATATGGTCACCTAGAGTCGTGGGCTTGAAAATGATTAGGTGCATCAGCAAATGTAAATTGCAGTTTGTAAGCTTCAGCTACCAAAACATTGATTTCAGAATCAGACCAATTTTGTGTAGGTAGGTTTTGTAGCATTAGCATCAATCCCTTTAATAACATACAATTTTATTAGAGTTTTATTATTAGTAATATATTACATATATATACAATTATACTTTATTTTATTTTGTGAGTTTCACAAAACCTCACTCTTACTTGAAAGTCTGGTTGAAGGAGTAAATGTCTTCTCCAACGTAGAAGAAAAGCTGTACAGACATATAATTGAAAAGATGCAAAATAATCAGATTCTGCCAAATATGTATCCCAAAGACGAATAGTACAATGTAATGGTAATTCTCTTGTAAGTAAATTATTGATCCATCGAAAAGAAAATTGAAGATAATCTACACCATGTTGATGTAAGTGTTGATGCAATGGTGCTAAAATATGATTAAACATTTAACTGTACAAATTAATACAGTAGTTTTTTTTACATATGTAATGTTATGGTGCCACTTTTTAAAACAAAAGTGTAATCAGTGAGGTATATTATACAATAAGATTAAAAATAATTATATATATTATTATATATTTATTTTGTTGCTACCTATGATAACTAATTTAATCACAATAAAATATTTTTAGATATTAAAAAGTATTCACCAACATTATATTAATTATATTTAATATATATAAATTAAAATTTATTTTAATTAAATTATATTTAAAAATTTATATCAAACAATATTAACATACCATCAATTCTCTGTATTAATTCCTTCAATTGATTAACTTTATGTTGAATTCCTAATTGAGCGAAAATATAATTATCCTGAAAACCATGGAGAAATTTTGATAAGCACCAGAAGCTGTCGGCTTCAATAATATCGCGTTGTTCCTTTGGCAATGATGCTACATCATAATTTTCAATTTCCTGCCATGCTGAAACTGGAACTGCTTCTTGAAGAAACACCAAGAAAAATGGTGTCACCAAATCATTCATGCCCTTCAATTATTTAAATTTCGATTAGTAAATATCATTTCGTCGCATTATATTATTTTGCTACCCAATTTACAAACTTTAATTAATACTAAAATATGTGTATATACATGTTTATTAAAAAGAAAATAAATAAATCTATATCTTCATTCATAATTTTTATTAATTCATTTTATTTAATAATATAAAATGAAGAAATATTATAATTATGTTATTATTAATATAATTTTTTTTTAAATATAACCTAGACATTAAAAGTTTATTCATAACTAGCAAATTAACTTAAAAAATGTATTACTTAATTGAAACATATTCTTATTTTACCTGCACATATCCAGAAGCTGGATGTCGAATAGCCCAAATATATAATATTCTTTCAAAAATTATCTGAACAGTAGATTGTTGAAATAGCGATATAAGGGATGACATTCTTGGAATATCAATGTGTATTTGTCGATATGTATCCTGAAATTCTTCATCTCTTTCTGTATCATAGTATTGTTTAACTAAATTCCAATAATCCAAGCGTTTTCGTTTCAATACATCTGATCTTCGTTCTAAATTAGCTGGAAGATATTCCTATAAAATTTAAAATGAACTGAATATATGAAGATATATTACATATATTACTCTATATTTTGGTAACTTACAGATAATAACCTCCATGTTACTGAACGTAGCTTTGCAGGAACACCAGACCATGATAGCTGTCTCAATTCATCTAAATTAAGCAAAGATGTTGCTAAAAGTACTTGGAATTTATCAATTTTACTTTCTCCATCTGAAAAGTGAATTAGTACTAATTATTCAATAAAAAGATAATTAATAATTACAAATTACTAATCAAAAAAATATTTATATGACTAATTATAATATATTAATATTATATCTAATGATATATTTATTAAAATATATGAAAAGGAAATATTCAAACTATAATTTTTAAAAGTGTAATTTTAAAATTAAAAAATTTTAATTTTCATAAATATTAACCTATTAAGAATATATGAGATACTGTATAAGAAAAATTTTAATTTAAATTTATTTAAATTTACACCTTATTGATGAATATTATCATTACTATTATTATTAATAGTAATAAAGAAAATAACCTTTTTCTTTAGAAGGTACAAAAAATTTTACACTTGAATTAGGCTGCCTCAAAGGTTGAGGCCTTCCTGGAAACTGTGTATGTCGTTGATGATAAACTCCAGTCTTAGTTTCAATATCATTCACTGTCGGTAAATATGAATAATTTTTTGAGGCACTAGCGTTTAAATTAGCATTTCGTAAATGAAGAGGCTGAACAGCTAGTCTCTGTAAAGCCTCTGTTTTCTTCTCTTCAGAAATAATTTCTTGATGACTACTTTCTTTACTGTTGGTCTGTGGTAAAATACCAGTTGTACTTGATCGGTGATGATTAATAACACTTAAAGCTGCTGAGTGACTAACTTTTTTAGAAATCTTTACATCTGAAACTAAACAAAACTCATCATCTCCTGAATCCCAAGCATCATCTACACTTTCTTGAAAGTCTTTAAAAGACGTTTGTCCTCCACTTCCTGTCCAAGTTCCTCCTGATCCTCCAACAGAATTGGTAACAAAATTACTTTTTTCTTGTTTAGAATCTTGCTTTAAACTAGGCCTATAAATATTATATATTATTTCATAAAAGTTTATAGAATTCAATTTATTAAGTATATTTAGTAAATTAAATACTTAATCATAATACATTTATTTAATAAAAATCAAAAGTAAAGTAATTAATCATTTAAAGACTTTAAAACTAAAATCTAATTTAATTAATTAATTTAATTAATTTAATTAATGTACAATAAAATAAAATAAAATTTTAAATTAAGTAAAATAAGTATATTTATAATATTTGAAATTATATTTATATAAATACCTGCCAGGAACAGCTCTAGAATTTTTTTTCCAAAATGATTGATAACTTTGGTGTACTTGATGATGACGACTTTGGTTTTCCATATTCTTAAAATAACCACATTTCACAACGGTTATTAGTTTTATAGAATAATTTAAATAAGAGATAACATGTTGATGGTTGGTTCTGTTAAAGTTGAATTAAACATACCTATTTATACATATAAAAACTGAATGTTAATACAAGTAGTTAGTTTAGTTTGAACATAATACTATATTAATTATATTATTATTAGTTTAAATTAAATATATATAATATATTACAATTATATATATATATATATATCGAATACTAAAAATTATTATAAAAAGTATCTTACAATAAGTTTAATTTACAGAATCTACATGAATTTTATTTGATGAAATGAAACATACTTAGATTAACATAAATATAAATTAAATTCTTAATATGTTTTTATCATTTTAGATTTTTATCATAATAATTATAAAAAAATTATACACAGTAGTAATATCACATACTGTTATTCTTAACCAATTGTAGTGTTTTAAAAGGCTAAATTATCTTATAATTCTATGACATATACAACATCATTAAATTATAAAGAAAAATATTAAACAATTAAAAACTTAACATCGTTAAAGTTAAATTTAGATTCTTGAGTAGTAAACTGAATAATATATTAGCCATGTCATGATTTCTTGTTAATAACAGACCTAACAGCACACATATCTACATAATCTAAATGCACATATGCAAGTAACTATTGCATAAAATAAGCACAGTTTGCTCTGTGTTATAAAACTGAAGGACTTAAAATTAATTTTTTACTATTGTTATAATTAAGCATTTGTGTCTGAATTAGAGGTTAGATGAACGAGCAAACACTGCAACGTATATTCCAGGACGACTTTTCGAATGTCAAGCCGTTGATGATCGGCCCGCGTTTTTGCCACGTTAAAAACGTCATCAGGAATGATTTTCTGTTTGTTTACGCAAAACACGTAGTCCGGTACTACAGTACTATGCACATAAAACACATTCCGTGCAACAAGATTGCAATGGACATTGAATAAAAGGGCGTACTTTCGGTAAAGTATTTACTAAAAAAAAAAAAATATAGGCAAATAATAAAACAAATTAACTTTGATTCTTTATCTTATTGTTGAAATGAATGTGAAAAAGATACATATACACTTTTAAAATATCATAAATCAAGTTTTCACTTCCTCAAACATTGCAACTTTAATATAGCTATGTAATACTATGATTGCACGTAAGCATATCAGAGAATTTATAATTGTGTATGCTGTATGTGCTGTATGCACTTACAAATCATGTAAGACCATGTATAATAAGTTCTCAGTGAGTATTTTACTTGAAGTAAGAAAATAGTTGTGCGTTTGAAAAATATCATCACCTGTGCATTAAATTTGAATTATTATTCTTTGAATGGTTTTATCAATAACAAAGAAGAAAAAATTATAAAAGTAATATTTATATACCGATGATCTGATAATAATAAGAAAATATAAAATGTAACACTAGATAATTTACTAATTTTATTATTAAAAGATTTAAAAACATAATTGATATGAAAAATTCTATACATATATGTAGTAATAATAAATAAATTTTATAGAAAGGATAGCAGGCATTTTCAATAATTACTATAAACAAAAATAGTATTCTAAAATTCAATGAATAATTTAAAATCTTCGTTATATAAGTTATTAAAGCTGATTACAATTCTATCATTAAAACTATCTATTTTTATAATACTATTCCAATAAAATATAAATTAACTTAAATTATAATAAACACACAATTTTATTTACTAATCAGCGTTTAAAATTTATAATATAATCTATTGGATATATTTATCAAGACTAATTGTTATAAATAATGACAATTCACTACAAGAAATAGTATATAAATAAGTTATTATTTAATAAACTTTCCAATTATTGTATTGGAAAATTTCTTTATATAATCATTAAATGTAATATGTCGAAGAATGAACAAACCATGATTTGTAATTAATTACATAAAGAATAATTTGAATAATATATAAGTTTACAGCAATCATAATATATATAAATGTACAGAAAAAATATTTTAAAAATAAATTAATTTTTTATTATTTTAGATCTTACAAAATTTTTAATCAATTTTATTTTTAATATATTTAAAATAGTTTAATAGTCAACTAGATTTTTTTTTAAAAAAAAAGTTGAAATCATAACATCAAATAAACATAAATTTTTATTCTTAGTAAACATAAATTAGTTTTTGTTAAATTACTGATGTATACTTATAAAAATTACTGTCGCAATATTTAAACATGTAATTATTCTTTTATTTGGAAATAAATAGAATCTGTCACTTATCAATAACTGATATCCCTTTAACACCCATGAGATGCATTGTTATTTCTCTTTCAAGTATTTATTTAAAAGAATAGAATTTTGTCTGACAAAAAAAACAACTTTTATTTCATTTCTTAAAAGTCGATTTTACTTTCGATTAATGTATACCAATGATATTTTTCTTTTTCTCTTTCTGAATAAAATTAAATATAAGTACTCAATTAAAAATGATTAGATACTTGTATCTTATTATATTTGACACTGGCTTGTATTACAACGGACGCTCCTTTAATTGTTTAATGAATATTCATTAGTTTAATCAAGAGATTCGATTTTCATTGTACATTATATTAACAGAAATATATTTTTGATAATTGTATAATAGTTTCTGGTTTTCTAAATCCCTCTTTACTCCAAAGAAACTATAATATCCTTAACATTAATAGTCTTAATCTAAGCCTTAAATGCTTTTTTTCATTTTATGTCGTTTATTTAAACCTCCTTACACTTTAGTTCTTATAAATTAGATTTTAAGAATTTATATGAAAAATATGTAATATAAAAAATTCAAATATAAGGTTTTAAGTGAAAGCATGAATTTTACAATATTGTTAACATTTTACGTATTAAAAAAAAATTCCAAACGTTTTCTAAATTGAATTAAAGTTTTTTAATATGTTTAAGAAATTTTCTAACAAAAAACATTTCTCAAAAACATGCATTAACACTTTTCTTATTCGTTTATTAAAATAAAAGTGAGTTTTTTTAAGAACATAAAAATATTAAAAATAAACAAAAATGTTATAGCAAACTTTTTTTCATGTGCATTTAGAAAAAATCATTTCCAAAACCTTTTTCAGGTAATACCAATTCATAAATAATAATATTAATTTTCAATTTTAAAACAGGCATTTGTTTCAACATTAAATGAATTATTTATCGTAAATAATATATAAAAAATAAAAGAGATATTATTTACTATCCATTTTTATGATAATTATAGAAAAAGAAAAACATAAAATAAAGATAATGTAAAAATTAATAAGAAAAATTCAAAAATTCGATGATATTTTATTTACGATTTACTTGCGAATTTTTTATTTTATTTAAATTATAATATGCATTTTATTTTATATTTTATTTAGAAATATCGATTATTTCTTTATATTATTATTAATAAACATTCACAATTTGAAATACATAATAATTATATCTATATATATATATTATAAGTTATTGTAAAAAAAAAAAATTCATGAAATTAGTGATTTTTTATTAAAATTTTTTATGTCAATAAAACATTTCTATTGCCTTATTAATTTCTTTAACTATAAAATAATTTATTATTTATAAAAGCGTAAATAAAACTCCTTAAAAATGTTCTAAATAAATGAATTTCATTACAGAGATAAGAATTTAATTAATATAAATTATTCCAGTTATCTTATTCAAATCAATAATAAATTTCAGATAAGCTATAATGATAATCATTAAATCAATTTATAGAACGTCATGAAAATCACTACCTTTTAGTGACGATTCGATTCAAATTTAATTATAAATTTTATGCAATATTATATTCTTTCTATTCATAGAATTAAAAATAGCTGCCAAGTAAAAAAGTAACAATTTTAAAATATAATATTATCATGTAAAATTACTCGAGATAATAGTTATAATCTTAAGTAAATTTAAAATAATTAATTAATACTAACGTAAGAGTTTTAGAACATTATTTAATTAAAAGTTCTTTGTTGTTTAATATACTAGCATGCATGGGGGTATGGACTTTTGAATACGTACGAATGAGGGAAAGACAGAGAGCGAATGAGTTCATGCGTGGACGGGTTTTGCGGGGGACATGAATCCCGTTATATATACGCTAAACGGATCGGGCGTGACTTTCGACGTGGTGTAAATGACAGTTTACAGGATTATTTTCTATACTGAATTCCGAGCTAATAAGATAAATAGACCAATGGTAGCTTGTACTAAAAATATTGTTATTATTTTTTTTTTAAATTTTAATTATCTATAAATAATACTATAAATACGTATTCAAAATGAAGACCATTACTTTTACACATATATTTATTCTAATTATTGTCATTTGAAAATATTACATTTTTAATCTAAGTACTCAATTATTGAAAAATTAAAAAATTCAAGTGCACAAATAAACATATGAATAAATTATTTTTGATATTGTGCTACCTGGAAAGAAGTCGAATAATAGAAGTTATTGAATTTACATTGAGAAAATTTGTTCAATATCGCAGAGAATTTTATTTTATTTTTTATAGTTAAATTGTAACTACACGTAAAATCGTATGAAGCACCCATTGTATAAGGCGAAAGTAATGTTTGTAAAATATTGGTGGGGATTTGGAAGTAATCATCGGAACTGTAGAGTAGCGTCACAGAATACGCTTTGTACACTTAGTCGAAAGAGAACCCGAGTGCAGTTGAATCGACATTCCGACGTGGATGCGCACGCGCATGCAGAGCTCCCATCCGAGTCTTGGCTTCTGCTAGTTGTATTCAAAGTGCCGTGTTGTTGGAAAATCGTGAGCGTTCGGAATTTTTCAGCTCCTATAAGCGACTCTTATAAACGCTCGTATTCGTATTTTTCGAGGTTATAAACACCCGATTTTATTGATTGTATGTGTGCAGTAGCATCGACAGCAGCATTAACCAAATCATGTAGGTAAAAGTTAAGCAAATATTTACACCAATGCTGATTTACACGTATTTTCTAATACGTTCAGTTCTTAAAGCCCATTCTTATATCTATGTTGTAAAATTCTCATCAAAAGTGCGTAAAAAAATTAATGTTTTGAATGATGTGTGCCAAGCATCAAATACAGCTTAAAACAGTTAGTTTTAAATCAGATTTATTAAACGGCTATTCAGAAGGTTCGAGATAAAAGAAAACCCTTATGTAAGATAAAGAAGGACATAAATCGCATAATTGATAATATAATAACAGTTGCACGTGTTTGTTACTCCTAGAATATGGGAGGAAACGAGGCGAAGGTCGATAACAGTACGCATACGACCTACATTTTACTATCTTCCTTAACTTTCTTTTGTTTCTGTCGAAAGTTTATAACGCATTTTCTTAATTTATTTACATTCACATTTTGCAATTTCATCTATTCGTAAATAGAAAATTCATTAAATTTAACTTTTTATAATACTTATGATTTATTAAATAACCACTCAATTTAACGAACTTTTCCAAAATAACATGTAAACGGAAATATTATTAATTATTACTTTATAGATTTAATAAAACGTCAAGATTGCATTCTTATTTTTAAATATTTAATATTAAACCATGTCTGTGCTAACATCGCAATTAATGCTTTATTTTGTTACATAAATAAAAAATTGTATAAAAAGTACGCAAAATTAAGAAATCAAAATATTGATATTGCATTATCTTATCTACATTCACCGAAGACAAAAACTTAAATACAATAAATTATTAGTATTCATTTATTTATACGTTGACAATTAAGATATTATGTTAACAAAGTGTAAACAATAGTATAATATTACAATAATACAAATTACGTTTTAAATATAAAACATTTATTTTATTCGATGAATTAGGGTTTTACAAATAGAAAAATAGATATAATTAAAAATTATCATCAAATTATCGATAAAAACTTAATAAAGTGAATATGAAAAATATATATTTATTAATTACAAACCATTTCAATTTTATTTTTTATGTATTAAATTTATTAATTTAAAAAAAAAATAAAAATTAGAAAGGTTTTGATATATTAACATGACACTTTTTATCTTCTATTAATTGCTTTTAATTCAAGCTTTATTTAATTCACTTTAATCCTAAAAATTATTACATTTAAAAAATGTTTAATGAATAGTCTTAAAAGTGTTTATTATATGTAATGAAACGATATAATTAAATTATGGATTCTTCAAAATAATTATAAAATGTAAAACCTTATATAATAGTGATGATTCTCTTAAAATAATTGAAAATAATATTTCAGAATATATACACCACTTTTGCATAATTGCGTATTAAACTTTAAATTTAACCGTATTATTACAAAAATAGATTTTATTTGATCAAATAAATATTTATATCCAAAGAAAAATATATCGTTTTACAATGTGTTGATTCAACGTGAAATAACTAATCAAACCTTTTGTCTTAAATATGATTGAATAATTTTATCAAATTATTTATATACTTAAGGCATCGTTAACATATTCTCCAAGATCCATGTTTACATTGTTTTTCAAATTATCTTTTAAATACACATTTTTGTTGTCTCGTGAATGTTAATAAATTTGTCGTTTTATCCTAGAATATTTCATTAATTTCATCAAAGTAATTTTGATATATGTGATATGTATACAAGTTTTTAAATGAAGTATTTAAATGAGTTTTTAAATAAATTTGTGGACAATACTACGTTAATAATTTAAAAACTTGTATATCCGCGTGTGTATGTTTGTGTTTGTCTATTGATCACTCGTCCTCAATACAAGTTAAGCCGATTACAAAATTGAATAAATTTAATCTAGATTTTTCTGGAATAATGATGGAGACTTACTGTTATAAAATATTTAATGTTGTTATTATATCTGATATTTAAAAATTATATTTTTACTATAAGGTGAATTTTAAACTATCCATTCTGTTTAAAATTGATAATTTCTTAATTTTTAGTTTTTATAATTCTATGCTAATAAGTTAGTAACCACATAGAATTCACTATATTTGAAAATTTTTACATGAGATTAAAGGATTTACAATTTATCATTTGATTACAATGCTGAAAAATGTTTATATTGAAAATTATATAGGATTAATCGTGGTACATATAATCAACGAATATCATGAAAAATATTATTTTTATAGTTTATAACCAATAGCACTTGACTAATATTATAATTTTGGTTATAATATATATCATAGAAAAACTACTATAACAACCATTATTAATGTTTATCTAATTGTGCATCCAAATAAAATTTAAATACTTGATATAATATACTCACTGAAAACAAAAAATAAAAGATCATACGTTAACGAATATAAAAGTTCATATTAAATATGAAAGTCGCAGTCAGTTTTTCATAATGTAGAGAATTATAAAACAGTTTGAAATTGCATACATTATTTTCTCCATATTACTTTACAAATTTCTCCATGATTTATTTATAAATTAATTTGTTTAAATTATTTGATTAAATTATTATACACATATAGATTTTTTATGTTAACATTAACCTTTACAAAAATGTATTATAGATATTTTATGATGAATTTCGTATAAAGAATCGTATAATTTTCAAGAAGAGAAATTTCGTTTTATTGATTATCAGTCTTAAAAGAAATAGTATATTCAACTTCATAAATAAAGTATTTTAGCTAAATAAATTTCTAATTGTATTTATAACTTTCAGTTGCTTCAGTTGTTATTATAATCATATAAATTTATTATAATATTTATTATTATAATGTAAATTTATTATTATAATCATGTAAATATATCAATATTAATTGTATTAATTCATATTCTTTCTAGAATAACGATTGAATAATAACGATTGAATATTTTACTATTTTATTTTCAGTTATTTTTTATACATAATTTATAACATATTTACAACTTTATTTATGTAATATAATTTGTATGTTATCAATTAGTAGTAATTATTAATTTATTGATTTAAAATAATTTTTTTATAATAACGAAATTATTTAATAATTGTATAAACTACTCACACAGCAAAGTACACATAAAGTAATGGATGTAATGCAACTGATTATTGTTTCTATAAAACGAATAGACACATAACTGTAAAATAAATTATATTTAATTAAAGTGAAAACTAGCTTAAGGAACTTTATACTTTATAGTCCAATCCTAGAAGTATAAGCTAATTAATGCCATATTTCTGTGTTTAATCTATTTTTAGTGCTATAATATATAGTCAAACTAAAAGTACAATATTTCGGTTGAGTACAGTAATAAATGGAAAAATCTCATAAGAATGTACAGATTTTTGTTATTACAGTTTAAGTTTTTCACTTTAAATTTCTATTTAAAATAGAACAATAACTAGAAATTTAATGATCTAATTGAATTATTAACTGATATTGAACTAAATACGAAAACTTAAAATTGGACACTATTCCTATTGAGTGCAAAACTATTTTGCAGTATGGTACACCTGCCGAACCCTTAAGATCTATATGATCGAAAATTAATTTTTGAATAAGAATATAATTTCCAGATATCATCTTAATTATGTAATTTAATCTATCTCACTTGACTAAAGCTCAGTTATTTGTTTTTTTCTTAATAAAAGTCACTTTTATATTTATTAGTTGTATATTCTGTAATATCCATCATTTCTACAGTATCATGTAGTCATTGCAAATGTTTCTAAAAAGGTTATAAAACTATAATTTTTCCTCAAAATCTAAAAATTCGTAAAAATTATATTTGGATCGATGACCACATTGATTAAATGGTGGAATAAAATCTTATCTATGAGAAACTGCATTTAATCTAAAACTTTTTTTCTATTTTGATTATTACTATTTCCTATATTGATTTTAATATTATATGTTATTTATATATCAAGGTTCAAAGTATTTCTTATTTTGATTGTTTACCAAATATGTTATGAATATATGAAAAAAAGTTTATTATTTATTTATTTGGTTGTTTTGGTTAATTTTTTTTTTATCAGACATTTTATGATATTTATATCGATCATTTTTACCTCAAAATATATTTTTTTCGTGTGTATATATATTCAATCTTTAATTATTCTTATATGATAGAAATGCTTCAATTTATGGTTTAGGAATAAGATTTGATATAATTGTTGAAGTTACATTTCCAAATTGTGCTTTATACTTACCTGTTAAAAAACAATGTATTTATTCGGAAGGATTCAATAATTAACTCGATGAATTCCTTTAAAAATATATATCAATATTCTTAATAATAAATAATAATTTTGGAGTAACAACTTAAATTAATTAAATAAAATAAGTTTACAGTTTAAGGAATCACTTCATCTGCATGCTTCCAGCTGCAATTTAATTATATTTATAAAAATTATCTAGTATGGTTCTACGTATTTGATGAACATACGGTACTATGAAGTATTATCAGCATTTGAGATAATACAGCATATACTGTTCTATGACCAACATAATGAAATGATATGAAATATCAATCCTTGAACAAATCTTTCAGAAACCGTTTTTTAAATTTATGATCAACAGATATTCGTATGTTACTAAAAATGATATTTATTTATAAAACTAGCTAAGTATACTTCTCTATAACTATATTTGGTTTGCGATAGTTAATGAATAACAACATTTGTTTTTTTTCTAAGATAGCACAATCTGAAGACTGCACAGGCTCCAAAAAAATTTAATTATCATAAATGCAAGTATTTATCAATTTGTTCAATAATTATCTCCTAAACAGATTTTAGCCCCGTTAATGGATCTAAAATTTAGCGATTATATAATCTTGACTAATTAATATGCGAAGTAGATGATATTTTATAAATTTATACTATAGCCTTTTGTATTAATGGGTCACTTCAACCTTATCTGTTTTAAATAATAAGTACGACTATGGTACAGTTATAATTAGTCCAGAAAAGGAATAATTCTTCAATGCTAGTTTAGATATACGAGTGACGTGATCGGTTTGTATTTTTATTCAAAATTGAAAAAAGAACCCGGAATTTTTGGAAGCTAATTACATTTTTCACGCGACGATATCGATTCTACGATTAGACATTGTTTCTCGAGATAAATAAGCCATTCAATGTGTTTGACATTCTGATATTTTCTCATATGTAGAGAAATAATTTACATGAAGTTAATACATTTTTTTGTAAGAATTATTAAAATATATTTCCACATTCTTGCGATTAAGTTATTTAATTCTCTCAATAAAATTATGCTGTCAGCCACTTATAATTATGTAATTATAAAATGTTCAATTTCACACTCTATTTTATTTAATTTAATTTTATTACATTATTATTACATTATTGATCAAATATTACTGTAAACTAATATGATATTTACTGATGATTTCTTTCACATATGAATTACTTTATTATATTACAGAATTTATCAATGCATTTACTGGCAATTATTTAAATTTAAATATGTAAATTTTTCTATTAATTTTTTAAATCAATAACCTCATCATTTTCATTTTCATATTATGTCAGAAATATAATAATAATATTACAATTGATGTATCTCTTTCAATCATATCTAAGTTTGATCATGTCGAATTCGAATAAAATGATTAATTAAAAAATATCAATTTTTATCACGTTTGTGTTTTATACAAATTTCACTTATACATATATTCGAAGGAAACAATTAGATATAAATTGGCATTACTTATTTTATTCAACAAGTACTTTAAAAAAATTTATAAATATTTATGATCATTCATTATATTATTTTAAAAAGTATTTATAATATTAAATTATAAAAATATGTAATATAAAAATATTAATTATAAAAATATGTAATATAAAAATATTAATTATAAAAATATGTAATATAAAAATATTAATTATAAAAATATATCTATTAATAGGTTAGTATTCAGTGTAAATAATTATTTTTTATTTTTAATTTATATAAATTCATGGTAACTATAACTTTTAGATAGCCATGAAATATATCATGTTTCAATATAATTATTATTTTTAAATAAGTCTATATTATCAATGAACTATACATAATTCGATGGTTAATAATTTTTCAAGTAATAATTTCAAGTGATGCTCTAAAGAAATAAAAAAAATTGTAAATTTGTAACATTTAATTATAAAATTTTGGTAATCTTCTTTCATATATATTATAATTATTCATAATAACTGTGATACTTTACTACAGAGTTCTTAATTATTTTGAAGAAATCATAGTATTTTTAAATTTGTTATTTCTATTATGTAACAACAATATAATTAATAATTTTAGCAAATTTTTCTTCTTCCTATTCGATTTTATTTATACTATATTTTATGATTGGTGACATTAATACATTATATACTTAGAACTTGAAATTATATACTTTACAAATATCAATAACTCTGTAATGTGCTTAAATTTTACCAAAAAAATACGCTTTGATAATACTAAAAGCATTGATCAACAAATACAATAACGAATCTTTTGATAATATTATGTATGCCTTACTAGTTATTATGTTTATCTGTATTAGTAAGTATATTTCTCTATATATAAATATATTTGTTTCAATACATGCCGTAAGTAATTATGCATATTCAGAGTTTTCATATTGTATAAGAACAATTCTCTTACTTATTGACTAAACAAATTTTTAGTAATGAATCGATATTGATACTTTTACATTATAAAAAGCATTTGAAATTAGGCTTTATTTATATTATTCGAGAAATAAATTATAATTGTCAATTATTTATTAAGAATTAATAATATTTATAAGTAACACAATACATAATCTTTCTCGAATTGCGTTGTAATTTACGAAATCCTTATTAAAACTTTCAATAATTTAAACGAAAGTATATTTAGTTTTATTTAAATCTAAAACTCTATTAAACATAATATTTATTTTTTTAATTTTTAAATTTGTAGTTAAAAGTATTATTATAAATCATTATTAATAGAATACGTTTTGTATGTATTACTTTTTATTAAAATAATAATTACAAAAAGAATTTCTAAATAATTTCTACGTACCTTATTATAATTATTGCTAATACAGAATTCAGTCATTTTATGTAAAAATTCATGAATTTGATTTCTCACATTAAATTTTCTACTTTCCTATAATTGCTTTTTTTTATTAACAGCTTTTATTTGAATCTACTCCAAAAGTAGTTAATTAGTTATTATATCAGGTAATTTATGTTTATATTTTTTGATAATAAAACAAATGAAACGTGCGTTGTAATTGAGTTTCTATTGATTTTTAATTTTAAAGATAACAATTTGAGGCAATTTTCTTATTCAAAGTTGAAATAAACTGAGTATTTTAATTAACGATATCCAGTTAAAAAAATTAAGCTGTTAACGTTATTAATCGCTACAATAAAATCATATTAAAACAGATAAAAATTAAAAATTAAACTCGACATATAATAGAATAATAAATAAAAATTCATATTTTTATATTTTCAATAGTTTTCATGTACACTAAAGATCAAATATAGAAATATTTATTTACTATTATTATTTCTAAAACTAAAACAAACATTTTCATGATTATAATCAATATAATACACAAAATATCAACATTTTTTATCAATAAACAATAATAACGATTTTTTGTATAAGTTTTGAAAAAGAGTTGAATATCTAATAAAATAGAATGGATTTTGGCGAGGTACAGGCAAAATAGAAAGTAATAGGCAAGATCTCGTAGAATAATGACCTGAAATCGAAGGAGAACGGAGTTTAGAAATCCATGTACAGAGAAAGCTTTTCTCTTTTTCTCCTTTGCTTCATTTTTTCCCCCCCCCCCCCCATGTCTCACCCTTTTACTCGTTTTTTCATTCTTTGATTCATTTTATAACTCCATCGTTGCGCTTGAATTGTGCATAAACTACACTTAAACTTCACACTTGCATGCCTGTATAATTTTCTTTTGGTTGGTGAAAAGCAGCCATCTACTTCCCAAACTTTCACGAGGGACGTGGAAACAATTGGGAACTTATTTTCTACGAGTACTTTATGAGAATATGATATGCAATTAAAATGAAAAATTATGTAATTGACACAGCTTTAATCAGTTAAGCTTTCTTTACACATAGAAAATATCAATGAAAGTAATTTTCAAAAACTATACACATGTATTCTAGTAAAATTTAATATTTAATTAATCAATATTTAACTTTATTTGAGATGCTTGAGCATACGGGCACGCGTGCATTGTAAAATATTAAACACCGCTACAATTTAAAATATTTTGTTTTTCACTCACTTGCAATATTGATTATCTTAAATAATAATAAGACTATTAAACAAGATATTATTTAATCGATATATATACACAAAATTAACACGATATCAATTCCTCAAAAATGAATAATACATATACTCTTTAATAAATAGTATTAATAGTTATTTTTAATAATTACTTAACAATTGATATTATTCAACAATATAATATTTTATAAATTTTATAAATTAGTTAAAATGTAATGTGAAGTGTAATTTAATTATAGGTTTAATATTTCTAATCTTATGAAGATAAGATAATCTTAGACAAATATTAATCAACTTTACAATTATCAAATTGAATGCAATGATAGAATATTAAAAAAACTTTTTTAATTAATAAAAAATCGCTACTGTAATGTAATTGAATTACATAAAAATAAAATAAGTAATGTATAATATTAAATAGATTTCTCGAATTTTACGCGCAAATTAAGGACATAACACTAAGAATTGCTTTTATTGGATTAACACTTGCAATACAATCAATTAAAAACTTGTAATAAGTGAATGCTATTCAAATGATAAAAAATATATAAATATAATCTGAACTTAATACAAGTTTAACGTATTAATTTGTGCGTGTGATTCATTATATAAATAATACCTTTGTTATTTGCAATAAAATTAACATGAAAAATATTCTCAATTGCTTTTATACTTTTCGTAAATTTAATAAGATTTAATTAATTTTGTGGCAAAATTGATATCACTTTGTATAAAAATTCTTTTTTTCTCTCATAAAACAAATATCAAATATTTATCGAAGTATATGAAATATTTAAAATTAATAAAGAAAGTTTCTAAAATATGTTAAAATCAATGTATTTATACTAGAAACAATTTTATTACTAATATGTATTATATACTACTTATATAATTTTTTAAATAAATATACTCAATTAATCGGCTACTAATTAGTTAATGGATCATTTGTAACGTTTTGGAGAAAATTTAATTATTTGATTTTGAAAATATAATACATATTATAAATGATTAAAATTAAAATAATGTATTATTTACTTTATAAATTATAAATATCTTTTTAATAATTCAATAAATTTATATGATTACCAACATTAGACAACATTATAATTCACATCTGTTTACTACTAAAAATTAATGTTTAATATGATTATTTAATTTTATTATTAATAAATTATTTATATTAAAAAAAATCTAACGTTTATAAGGGAAAAAAATACAGTTTTGTAATTGAATTTTAAAAAGAATTTATGTTTCTGTTTCAGAAGCGATAAAAACATATCCGTAATGTCCGATATTGAAGAAGACGAAGTATGTACTATTTATTAAAATATCTAGATATTACTGATATGCTGGTATAAAATATTTAAAACTAAATTTTGTAATTAATTGTTTTTAGTTTCAAGATGCACAGGAGGATCTGCCGCCGTAAGTACATCATTACTTTTTTGGTATTTTTTATTTGATTCCGTTTTTCAAACCTGTATTTTAATTATCATATTTTGGTTATTTCAATAATTTGTTTGATAAAAATATAAATATTTTTATAAACAATATAACAATTTATTATAAATTATTAGCATTAGTTATAATAATTATATATTATATATAATAAAAATGCTTGTTAAATTTTATATTTTATATTTGAAAATTAGTGTCAATTAGACTTTCACGTTAAACAACATTTTTGGAAAAAGAAATTTTCGAACGCTACGTCTTATGAAGTTTTATTATTTTTAATATCTTAATAAAATTTGTATATTTAAAAAAAAATTATTAAAATATTTAATTTTTGATATATTATTTTGATTAATATTAAAGTCTTTGATAAATATCAAATTTTTTAAAGAAATTTTTATACACGTATGTAGTAATATTTGTATAATATTAATAATTGTTCTTATTGCTTATATTTTTCGTTTCCACTTTTTAAAAAGTTGTTTGTTTATTATTATAACATTAATTTAGTAATATGTGTTTATGGTATAAAATGTACAATACATTTCAATAAATATTTGCAGATTATAAATATATTTTTTCTATGTATTTTACAAAATTTATTTATTTGTATAATTATTATTGCCTTCATAAAATTATCATTATTAAAATAATTTGTTTTGATAACGCAAGAACTTGCGATTAATCCTATATTATAGATAAGGTCGTATTCCATTTTTATGCTCAAGTAGTATAATTTTAATAATTATCAGTGAAACCTTGAAAATTTCGAACAATTTTCAGTCATAAAAATTAATTTTGTTCATAAATGTCTATTGACTGCTATGAATTACTGATAAATTCTATCAAAAAATTAATACATAAATTTAAGTAATAGTTGCCAATTGAAAATTTATAAATTTCTTTTCATTTAAAGATAGTATATTCTTCAATTTTTCAACTATAAAATCTCTTAATTATTTGGTTTTACATTTTTTACAAATTATTTTTACACAAATACAGTTATTTTTTATATATTTAACTTTTTATTTGACTGGTAAACTATTAAATAAAAAATTTTTAAATATTTTTGAAATTATTTTATTTACTTGTTTGAGAATCTTTTTTTCAACTATTAGTAACATTAAATTTACTAATATATATATATATATATATATATATATATATATATATATATATATATATATTCAGTTAGTGAAAAATAAATATTAATATTTTTGTGTTGTTTTATCATAAAAAATGTGTTGAAAGGACAATAAATTGAAAGGGTGGCCTGCTATAGAATTAAAAAAACTGTTTTCGTTATTATTTTTAAGTAATTAGATAAGATTGATGTCTTGTTACTGATATATTGTATTGGAACAATGAAATTCATTTAAATTAATTTTAGTTAATATAGATAAATATAATGGATAGATGGCAAATATATAGACAAAAGTATTAAGAAAATGTTTTAGTAAAAAAGCTAATAACTTTAACGAAAATATCCATTTTAAGTACATTAAAAATTATTTAATAATAAATATTAAATTGAATTATAACATCGTCTATTTGAAAAAAATAGCAGTGATATTTTGAAGATAAGTGTTGTAATTTTTGTTATTTAGTAGTTCTGCTTAACATAATTCTGTTCTCGACTTATTTACTTAATAAATATTATAAATTATATTTTGAAACTTCGATACTTTAGAATTTTTTTCATTATGTTTTTCATGTCTTTATTCATTTGACGTTTTACGGTTAAACAATTAACGTTTTTTAAATTTGACGATTTATTAAAAATTCAGGAATATATAATAATTATTTCACTGAAATTCATCTTAAATTTATCTAACACTTTAAATTTCTCAGACCAACCACAATGGATTTTGATACAGCAATATCAGAGGCGCAACAAGCTGTACATTATTTTTTAAACAATGATTTTGAGAAAGCAAAACAAATACTCGAACCATGGTCCGACAATAGTATGTATCATGCTTTGGGTACCAGCCTATTTGCATTCCTCGAGGCGACGCTTACATTTGAGCAGGTGATTTTTTATTTTTGTTGTAATTCAATTACAAATAATGTTGAATCTTTGAAAGTAAATTTAAACTACAATTTATTAATTTTATCTAAATTTAAAATAATAAATACATATATATGTTATTAAGTAATTAATGATATGCTGTAATTAATAATATACTATTAAAGCAATAGATTTCTTTATTACCTAATGAAAATAATTTTTACTTTATACAAAATTTCTAATTGCTTCAATTTTAGTTTATTAAGTTAGAATAAATTATTGAATTTATATTGCCAGCATTGTTAATTCGTGTTTATTTTAGCTTTACAATTATTAAACTAGTATATAAGCCATTTTTATTTTTACAAGAACTTATTATTCCGTGATACATGAGAACTTGAACAAACTTCAAACAAAACTTTTCATAATTTACACTCATAGAAAGACGTTATAAAGGCGTCGAAATCCTTGAAGCAATGCATGGCCGTATGTACAAAACATCGACGACACACTACCGCCATGCAAAATATCGGCAAAATGGTCAAGAAAACTAATTATGATTCTTACACTAACGGTAATAATTTACTATTGTTTTCGATATTTAGAATATAGGTGTATTCACAGACTTATTTTTTTTACAAAAAACATAGATTGAGTTTGCGCAAGTACTATTTGTAATTAAGATTAATCTATAAAGAAATGTTTTATATGTATGAAAAATAATTTCAGTATGTCATAATATTAACAAGTATTTATAATGATCATTTTTTTTATTATTATTTTTTAAAGATATTTTATTATATAAAATATGAAGATATCAAAACAAAATTATAACATTTTAAAGTGTATTGCTATACAGAAAAGATATTAAGATTAAATTTGTCAAATCCAAAAAAAAAATTGGTAGGTTTGTAAATCATTAAATTGTAACTTTTAAATTATATTTAAAAAAATATTTTAAATTAAAAAATGTATAACAATTTATAAAAATTTTAATATTCAATTCTAAATATGTATTTAACTCTTTATAGATAATTAGAAATTTATAATACTTTTTAATAAATCAAATTTATAAAAGAAAAATCATTAAGGTAAAATTAGAGATCTTAATGATAATTGCAACTAAAGTATCAAAAAATAATCTATTGCAAAAAAAATAATGAAATTGTACTATATATTTTAATTATTTTTAATGTGATTATTTAGAATTAAAAATATCATTAAATGGAATATTTATAAAATATCACTATATGTTAATAATAACCAATATAATTTTAATTATATTTTAAAAATTATTTACTGTTTTATCGTGAAATTATATTACAGAAGTTTATTTCATTAAAATCACATAAGTATTTAACACATGTAAATGCCTCATAATTCAATATAATACAATTTTTTTTAACGAAAGTATTTGAGTTTCATAAAAATTTGAACGAAATATACTTGACGTGAAATAATCAAAACTCTTATTAGTATAGTAAAAAATTCATAGCATTTAATTTTTACATTGCATAAAATTAATATTTTGTTATTATAGAGGAAGTACATGCAGAACTCTGTTATGCCGAGTCATTACTTTTAAAGTCGATGTTGATGTTCCTCGAAGATGAAACATTAGTGAACTTCGTTAAAGCTGCTATGAAAATACGCACTTGTTTCCTATCATACAAGTAAATATAAATTTTCATTTAATTTTATAGTAATTGTAGACGCATTGTCGAATATTTTTTGTTGTTTTTTTTAAATTTTTGTTAATATTTTTTTTATAATAAATTATTTGGAATATTTTAAAAAATATGTTTAAAATATTTTTTAATTCTTTAATATTATCATTCTATTTATTATTCTATTGATTATAAAAATTCAATTACAGATTCTTAAGATTTATTTAAAAAATAATATTTATATAAAAATATTAATATATTTTTATTTCAGAGAATGCTCACAAATTTTGAATACCAGAAAATGGCAAAATGAATCCAGCAGAACGCATTTTGAAAGTGGAGTTCGAATGGGGATTGGCACATTTAATTTAGTGAGTATTCGTGATAATATTTATTATTTTTGTTCTATTTGTTTATATACCACTATTTTAAGTTATTATCTTCATTTCCAGTTGATCTCATTATTACCTGAACGTGTCATTAAGTTATTAGAATTTATTGGATTTTCTGGAGATAAGGTATATATTTTATTAAGTTTTATTTATTATACATACATAAAAAAATAAAGATAATTATATTATTACAAAATAAGTTTATTTTTAAAAAAATTCAAGGAGATAATAAAATAATTAATAAAAAATTAATAATGTCATTATGTGCAGAATTTTTTTAATCTTTAATCAATTTTTACATTTTTACTTCAAATTTATTAACTAATGCTAGTTCAAATGATATCAGAACAATTTTTTAATTTATATGAAATCATGTAAACTAAAGAAAACTTTATTTAATATATTGTAACGTATTATATAAATTATTTCTTATAATAGCGATGAATGTTAATATTAAGTATTTTCTTATGAAAAAAGACTTCTCAATTTAAATATATTCATTGTTAAAATAATAATAAATATCAATTAATATCGATTTAATGTAATTCGAGCTGACTAATATTATTTTATATTTAATTAATTTTTTCAGACTTATGGTCTTAACCAGTTAAAAGCTGGATTTGATGAGCGTAAAGGTCTTCGGCAAGTGCTTTGTGCAATGACACTACTTTCTTTTAATTTAATAATCATGTTTGTATTGTGCAATAAAGAAGGTGATTTGGACTGGTGTGAAAAAGCTTTAGACGAACAACTTACTCTTTATCCTGATGGGATTTGGTTTTTAATGCTAAAAGCCCGACTTGAGCTCACTAGAGGTAATATTGAAGATAGTATTGAATGGTATAAAAAATCCTGGAAGAGTCAACAAGTCTGGCCTCACTTTCATCATATTTGTTTTTGGGAACTTATGTGGGCTCATTGTATTCAACAAGAATGGAGAGAAGCTTTAGAGTATGCAGAGAAACTATCAAAGGATTCTAAATGGTCGCGCACAATTTATTTGTATCAGCAAGCTGCCATTATGATGATGATGAAATCTTCGTTGGATAGCGAAGAAGAAATAAATATTGATCGATTAATGATGCAAGCTCCAACTTATAAACAACGCATTGCTGGAAAATCATTACCAATGGAAAAGTTTCTAATAAAAAAGACCGAACGTTATTTTGCGCAAAAAAAAAATCTTATTCTTCCTATTTTTGAGCTTATGTATATCTACAATTTATTTACAATAATGGGTAAACGTCGAGACAAACTAATGAATATTTTCAAAACCATTGAAGAAGAAGAAACTTCCTTTAAAAGTAGGCCGTAAGTTAAAATATATTTTTTTTGGCTACCTTAAGTTTGTATAATAACAGTCTGTTTTATAAAAAAACTTTTATTTCAATTATTCAGAAAGAATGAGTTTCAAGCAGAAAATAAAGCACTGATATTACTTCTCAAAGGGGCTTGTCTCCGTCAAATGAAACTCTATTTACAAGCTGAAGATTATTTGATGCAAGTTTTGGAATTGGAAAAGGAAATAAAAGAAGATTCTTATTTGGTTCCTTTTGCATCTGTTGAATTAGCAATGTTAGCTCGAGATCAAGGAAAAAATCAAGCTGCAATATCACTTTTGGAAGATGTCAAGTAAATATATACAAATTCTATACATTTAGTTATAAATAATTTCAGAAATCTGAAGTGTAAAAAAAAATATTTTATAGGAAAAACTTTACTGGCTATTCGCTTGAGTCAAAATTACACTTTAGAATACATTCGATTATAATGGAAGTTTCAAGTAAAAAACCAGAAGAGATTATAGAAAAAAGATTGCAGATGGCTTCATTAAATGATACAACCATTTTAGACAATATTGATCAAGCTGGGTCTAGTTCTATTAGATCAGCGACATATAAAGTACCTAATAATTGTCCATCTGTAAAAACTTAAAATTGCACTGGCTCTTTTTTTGTAAAATATATTGTATTTATTATTCTATTTTTTTTTCAAATTATTTTAAATTGAATAAGTTATAAAAGATTTTAATATTTAAAGTACTTTAATATTAATTATAATTCTATTCATCTGAAAAACCTGAAATTATTAGATATCTCATGAAACAGGGTTCAATACAAAATATTAAGTTTTAATCAAGTTAATTATAAAAACTTTATCAATATTATTCTATTGTATTTATTATAAAGTATTATTTTGTGTATTTAATATTTAACTTATAAAAAATCTAAAAAAAAAAATTAAATTAAATTAATTTTGATTTGTATTATATAACACATTGGTTGCTTTATGGCAGCTTGTATATATATATTAGTAAAATATATATATATATTTTGCTGTATTTCTATATTTTTACAACTTGGTTTGTATATAGTATATAGTTTAATGGTATATTTGTATATTATTCAATAATTTATTATGTAAAAATAAAGTTTAGCGAAATGATATTTTCATAACATTGAAATTGAATATTTTATAAAATAATGAGTGTACTTTTTACACTTTTGTAAATGAGCTTAATATTATAAATATAGTGACAAATATATACTAAACTAAATAATTTTAATATAACTATGTTATATTGTCTTATTCGTCTTTAAATAATAATTTATATTTTAAATTATATTGATGAAATCAGAAAATGTATACAACTAAATAACGGCTAAAATAAAATATTTCATTCATAATTGAAATAAAACTATTAACTTACATAACTTAATTTCTATTTAGTTTAAACAACATATTACTTTAAAAATTTATCATTTTTTAGTAAATTTATATATATGACCAAAACTTATATTAATTGATAATTCTTAAATAAATTTCATCTACAGCATTTATATAAAATATATTATAAAATGATCAACTTTAATATATATACTAATTATAATTCTATTATACAATAAAGAAACTTTTACATAATTTATTTTAATTGTAAAAGAATATATTTTTTAAATAATGTATAATTTAAGTTGAATTTATAATTTCGTTTTTAAAACAATTATTTTTATTTTAGTTAAATTCTAGTACCTAGAAAAACTCAGAAATAATATAAATTTCCATTCAGAATATCCCACAAAGATATTTCGAGTGAACCTAGAAATTCTATTCTTTTATTACCAAAACACATTTCAGTTATGAAATAAAATATTTAAATAAAACCGCTTAAAATAGACACTATTTACGCCCTCTGTAGGAGAAAGTTAAATCCAAATACACTGTAAGAAACGTCAGTATTTATATTTTTTGACAGTAAATTAAATTCGACCGTATACAAAATAAAAAATTGACATTTTTGTAATTAAAAGACTAATTTTAATATGCTATGCAAAATTAAACTTGACCTATAAAGCCAATAATTTAACACAATTAATGAAAATTACAATTTAATTCTTGATATTTTTATTATTAGAAAATTCAATAATAATTGAATAAATTTAGAAAATAAAGTTTTGGAATAATTAGATGGGAAATATGGAATCAGTTTAGCTTAAGCAATTACATAAGGATCAGTGTCCATATACATTCTATATTTATGTGCGCAGTAGAAAGTCTCATGTAATTCATAGTTAACGAAAGATGCAATGACGCATAAATGTTGTGTACGAGATTGTGAAGAAATCGTAAAAGAAAGTAGAATAAAAGGTTTACCTTTGCATAAATTTCCAAAAGACGTTTTGTTGAGAAATAAATGGCTTTCAAGCGGTGGTTTTGAACTAGACTTCAAACCAACTACAAGTCAGATTGTTTGCTATAAGCATTTCAAACAAGCGGACTACGAAATCGGTAGAAGCCACAAGTTATTTTTAAAGAAAGGTTCTATTCCAACAATCTTCGATGATTACGAAAATCATCCTGATCCTGTAGGACCATCTTCAGCTTTTATAACTTCCAGACTTCAGGCAAAAGAATTAAAATTATCGCAGTCACTTGCATTATCCGAATTTGATAATTCAAATAATTATTTTGAAACTTCGTGCTCCAGTTTGGAGGCGTCTATGGACTCTTCAAATTCTGTCCATTGTAGTTTTTCCAAAAAAGATTGTGATCAAATAAAAACCAAAGAAGTGAATTTTGAAACATCTGATACAATAAATACAAGTAGAAAAGCTATATTAAATTCACCATTGCAAATTTCGCCCTTTCTTAATTCTGAAGGAAAAAGTGCCTCAGATATAGATAGTGAAACTCATGAACAAATAAGTACTATAGCAATTGAAGATTCAAAAAAAACAAAAGTAAATGATTCTATGTCGAAAATGTTAAGTAGAGCAGGTTTGAACTTTTTACCTGGATCAAAATTAGAAGCAAAAGACTTTAATGAAAAATGGTATTCTGCTCGAGTTGTAGAGACTGATTGGATTGAAAGAGAAGTGCTTATTCATTTTGATAAATGGAGTTCAAGATACGATGAATGGATTCCAATGGATAGTTCTAGGTTACGAATGTTACAAGTTCAATCTAGGGAAACAAAATTAAAAGAATTCATGATAGGAGAAAGAATCTTAGCTACTTGGGTTGATGGAAAAAAGTATCCTGCAAAAGTTAATGGTAGCCTTGGAAATGATAAATATGATGTATTATTTGATGATGGATATTCTAAAATATTAAAAAGTTCAAAAATGACCAAACTTTTAGAAATATCTGGTAACAAATTAAAAGAAGAAAATAATTACGTTGGTAGTAAGCAAGAACGGAGAGATAAAAAACGAAAGCATACCATAACCGAATTATTTCATTCTCATTCAAAAAAGAAAATAAAAACTGAAAATGAGAAATTAAGTAAAAAACAAGATTTAACAGATATACGTAATATAAAATGTATATCAAACCGAGAGACTACAAATAATTTAAAAGCTGAAGTTGACTCTAGAAGTGATATTTATTCAAATCCAGAATATGTAAATAAAATAAAAAAAGTTAAAAAGGATATTTTTAAATGTAGTAATAATTCTGAACAAATTGTTTCAAAATGGTTTGATAAGAACTCGGATGAAAATGCTTCTGGTGATCTAGAAGAAGATTATGCTACATTTATTGGAAATTTACGTGTTGAAATTGAAGATAGTACTTACAAATGTCCAAAAAATGGCTGTAATAAAAATTTTAGAAAAGAAAATTTATTACAAATGCATATAAAACACTATCATCCTGAATATTCTAAATTTTTGGGATCTACACCAAATGTTGCTGATTTAGCTTATGCAAGAACAATTGGAGAGTCCGTTGAAGATATTATCCCAAAAAAGTCTAGAATTGTTAATACACAATCAACTCAAACTCTTCATGGGACGGTTCAATCAATTTCTCCAATAATTGATACAGAATCTGAGCAAACTGAAATAGATGATAAACTTGAAAATAAAGATATTTCAGATAATAATACAATTGCCATTGAAGATAATTTATCAAAGCAAAATAATAGTTGTACAATGTCTCCAGGAACATTATTTGATATGCGCTTTAAAGAAGAAAAAGTTCATACTGGCATAAAAACCTTACCTCCTGTTAGGCAACCTTTAGTGGTAGAAGTAGAAGAAAATCTACAAATACCGGATTGTAATAATGAAAATGATACTCAGAAATTGATCAATATAAGCGATAAAGGAAAAATATACAAAAAAAGACAACAGCAATATTATTATGATTCTGCAGATAAAATTAAAAAACCAAAAATTATATCAGAAAATGATGAAAATTATGATCATTGTGATGATAGTTTATTAGATGGAGAAGATATTTTAGATTTAAATTATAAATGTATTACAAATAATAATAAATCCAAAGCAGGTAATAATGATAATATTTCAATTAAAAATAGTGGAATTATGATGGTAAATGGTGAATTCATTAAAGTGGAAAAACTACGTAGGGAAGAAATAATTAATTGTACTTGTGGTATTACCGAAGAAGATGGATTAATGATACAATGTGATCTTTGTCTGTGTTGGCAACATGGTCACTGCAATGCTATAGAAAAAGAGAAAGATGTTCCTGAAAAATATATATGTTATATATGCCAACATGCACATAGACAAAGAGCATCGAAAAAATATTTTCATGATCAAGATTGGATACGCGAAGGAAAATTACCCAGTATATATCATTATTCTAGTAATAACTTAAAATTAAATGAGAGAGCAGCAATGTTAAAAAGATCTTACGATTTAATAGCTGGACTGCTACAAATACAAACTTTACTTCATAGCTTAAGAGTAAAGGTCAATGTTGCTCAAAATAAAGACCATCCTAAACTTTATCTTTGGGCAAAAAATTGGTGTAAAATAATAATTCCATCTTTAAAAACTGAACCAGTACCAATTTTAGAAATAATAAAAACTGAAGATTTGACTGATAATTATACTGAAAATAATACTAAAGAAAAATTAGAAATTTCTTTTTCAGGAAATGATTGTGAAAAATTAATTACATCTGATACAGAATTAATGAAAATTTTGGAAGAGGATAGTACTCAAGCTGAAGAATCAAAGCCTTCTACAAAATATTCTGTGTCTAATGATTTGAAGGATGAAGGGAGAATTTTACTAGATGCATTAACAAAAAATGGATTTGAAGAGCAAGATGAACAAGTATCATTAATTAAGCATGAAAGTAACATTCACAATTTACTTATGAAAGAGAATTCAATTGCACAATGTGCTAATTCTGAAAAATTAAATAAATTACAAAATGTCTCAACTGATGTTAGAATTAAACCACTAAGCACATTACAACCAATCATACCAGAACCAGAAGCTCCGATAGATCCAATTGAATGCAAATTACGATTACTGGAGCATATTGATTATTTTCAAAATTACATAGATTCTACACTAACTTTTATGGAAGTGCAACTGTCTGCCTTAGAAAGTATGAATATTACTGAAAAACAAAATAATAACCAACATATACAAACCAAGCAAACAATTCAAATGCTTTTGCATGATTTAGAATCCATTCAAAAACTTGCTGCATTATGTTAATGTAGTTATGTATATATATATAAATTTTTTTTTTATTTATTATTTGTGTTTATATTGTTCATAGTTCATTATTAAATTAAAAAAATTTGTATATTTATAAATAAAAGTGTATATTAAAACTATTGTATTTAACTATGTAATTATTGAAATATATCAAATACCTATACGTTACTTATTTCCATAATTTTATATTTTAATCGATTTATTAACATTAAATATTAAATAATAAAAATGCTTTTAAATTTTTATAGAAACGTAAAATAAATCCAATAAGTATATAATCTGCCTATAATGTGACCCATAATTTATTAAACTATGAAAATTGTATTCTAAAACTTTTTTAAATATATTTTTCATTTTGTATAATTAAATAGCTTGTGAAAATGAAAAATTTTAAATATTTTGATTATTTTTTTTAATTAAATAGAATTACCAATATTGGAACTGTACAGTGTATATCATTTGTTGCAGAGATAAAAGCAAGTAAAACTTAATATTAATAGTACCTATAAAAAGGTGAAAGAACAAACAAATGAACAAGATTATGCTTGAACATCTCAAAACTTCTAGTGTTAGTTAGCTTTATTTTCGGTTACTTCTTTTTTCCATAATTTTATATACAGTTGCTATAATTAAAATTTTCAAAGAATACAGAGTATATAATAAATAAAAGAATCAAATTTATAAAGAATTTTATAAATATCTTTTTTATTCATTTCATGCTATAAAAATTAATATTTATATCATTTAAAATAATATAAATATTAAAACTATTTTTTATAACATTCTAATCACTAAAGTCATTTAAAAATATGCAACAGTTTGTTTCCATAGATGAGTATAATTAATTCAACTTTTATTGTATTGTTTAAATTTTTTATAGTGAAATAATTAATAATAATACATTATATTTATTTTGTTAATATTAATTGCTTCTAAATCTCTTATTTGTAATATTATATAAATATTTCTAGAATACTTAGTTTTAAACAATCTATTCTAATTAAAAATATTATGAACATGAAAGTATTACATATTATTACATAAGAGATTGTAACTTTTTAATTATAACTAATAATAATCTATGTATCTAAAATTTATATACACAATTTTTTCAGTACTTTAAAATAATCAAAATGAAGTAAAATTATCTTAAATTACACCAAAATTACAGAAATTTCTTCTTAGGCATAATTAATTATGTAATAAATTCTATGTGCCCACATGCACACACACATATATGTATATGCTTCAATAACTGATATTGATTTTAGTTGTTCTCAATTTCATCTCCTTAATATTAATTATTTTGCTGCTTTATATATTCATGGTATTTTCAAATAATTCCAACATTTTTTTCATATCTTTTCTGAAAAAATATTAAAATTGCTTATATAATATATATAATTAACAAATTTTAATTAATTTTCAAAAAATAACATATTGAAATAAGGCTCATTAAAAATATTTACAAACTGGTATTATATAATAACATAGCGTGGACTTGTCTGTAGTTTTCTATAAAATGTTAGTATATTTCCTATTAAAATTAAGTGAAATCAATATTTTGATAAATTTCATATTAAGAAACTAGATAATGTACGAAATCTTAAATAAGTGATTGAATCGTTATACATAATATATAATCTTATTAATAATTATAACTTCAAAAGACAATTTAATAACATTAATATAATAATATTTATTATTATCATTTACTCAAATTTTATTTTAAATTAATTATTATCAACAATTAAATTGCAAGATAATTGAGTGATATATAAAGGACTATATAAAGTAATATGTACAGATATGAATAAGCTGGTATTTTACCAGATTTTATTATTTTAATTCATGTGGTTTCATTAAAATTATTTTAAAATTTTAACATCTATAAATTTTCTTCAAATAAATATTTCTTTAAATATTTTCATTCTTTTTAAACCATTTTATTTTTTGTATAATTTTAAATTATCAGATGAAACAGAAAATAAGTAAACAGAAATATTCATCATAATCATAAACACATTCATTATTTGTTATTAAGTAATATCATATCAGACATTAATATATACAATTTTAGATAAATCATATAAATGTACATTGCCTAACAAAAAAATTTTTAATAAAAATTATATTTATTTATAGGTAAAGAAATATATATAATTAATATTCTTAATATATTATTAATATTTAACATTTATTTTTAATGTTTATGTTTATATAGACACACAAAAATGAAATAAAATGAAATATCACGTATGTATTATAATATAAATAAATAATATACTTACATTTTTTCTACAATTTTATAAATAATATTCATAGACTTTGATAACTCTTCACATTTGGCCATTAGCTGATACATTGATTTAATATTATAGTCAACGGTATCACAAGTTTTACACACTGTATCTCTGTATGTTTCTAAACAACCAACAGTTAATGCAGAAGCCTAAGAATATACATAAATTAATTTATATTTTAATAATTTCAAAATAATGTAATTATTATAATAAAGCATACACTGTGCAATATAGCTGCTAAATTTTCAGTAATTGAATCAACTGATGTCGCTACTTTTCTTGCTTCATTTTCCAATTCATTCAAAATATTATGATCTAATGGAGGTAATAAAGGTGTCAAAGCTTGCCTATATAGGCCAGATGTAGAGTTTCGTGAATCTACAAAAAATTGGGTATCTCCCTTCTTTGCAATTGGACTAGATAATTTTATTTTGTTTTCCAAATCTTCAGTAACAAATAGGACCAAATTTCCATCTTTTATTACAGTTCCTTCAGATTGCAAATAATCAATTGCTTGTCCATAATTTTTTACATCATAATCGCTTTTTTGTATTTGAATGTCACTATCATTTTTCAAATTTAAATAATCAGGTCTAGTACTACTTGTACTACTTTTATCAAAACAATCTGTTAATAATTTATTATTTATATTTGGTGCACTTATTGACAATTTTGCATCAGAACCAGGTGGTGAAAGTTGAGAATCGAAAGATATTTCTGAATACGATTCAGTCATTTGTAACTATAAAATAAAAAATATATAAAAAAAGTAGAAAACATTATTATATATATATTATACTATATATATGTCAACATTAAATAAATCATATAATTAACTACCAAAATACATTAATAAAAATTCATAATTAATCTATTTAATACAAGACAATTGCAATATCTTATGTTTAATTAACAATTAATTCATTGGCAGTAATCAAGCAATATAAGAATTATTTATATATTTGAGTTATAGGTTTTACATATATGTATACCTTGGATTAGAATATATAAAATAAAGTATTTACAAAGACAAAAAATTTATTAAAAACTATAATTCTCAAACATCCTGAAAATGTCAAATACATTTATTTTAATATAAAAATTATTAAGACAAACATTATATTATATTAAATTATATATAAAATTATATCTGATTTTGAAAAATTATTAATATTTATGAATAATTATTAATAAATAATTAGTTTACATCAATTATGAAAGCAATATAAATTTATAGTAATTTTATTAAACATAAATTATAATTTCAAGCATCTAAAATAGAAATAGTTTGGATAATTTTATACACGTTAAAATTAAGAGTAAAAGAAAGCAATTCTCTTTATTTTCAAAATCATTTTTTAATTTTTTTTATTTTTAACTCCTATTTAATTAAATTATTTTGATAGTATGAAAAAATAACACGAATTGCTTATAAAAGTCTATAATAAATCGTGAAAACTAATATAAATTGTAAAATAAAATATTGTCACTGACTTGTGTCGAGTAATATACTTTTAATAATTAAGTGCAATCTTACTCTTTCATAATCATAATCTATTACTTCAACACTTGTTTCACTTTGACTAGGTATTTTTTGAGATTTTATATCTTGTTCATTTACATCCATGTTTAATTACATCAGAATTTATTTTTATTTAGAATTTTAATTTCATATAATTGTATTAATATCATTACTGATGAAATTATTTGAAAACGTAAATTTCCCATTTGATATAGAAAAAAATGTATATAATTAAATAGAGATTAAAATATGTTGATAATCATAGAAGGACGAGCAAAGGAAGTATGATAAAACTTATAAAAATAAAAACAAACCTATTTTAGCATGCGCAGCGTAGGTCCGAGCTTATTGGTTCTCAATGATTTCATATACAGAATTACGTAAAAGGCAGTGATTTAAACATAATAAATATATTAATAATTTTAATATATAAAAAAGTATTAAAACAATATGTATAATAAATAAATTACATTATATTACACTTTTACAGTTCTTGGAAATTATAAAATGTTTAATTATCTAATAGAAATAAGGAATAAAATCTAATGAAAGAATGTGTTATGTATTGTTAGTCTTATTACAAACTAAAACAATAGGAATGCTATACGAATTCGTAAATGCAAGACTATAGATTTATTGATATTGATAATTAAAGAATTAATAATTGAGCATGTGAAAAATTGAGATTTTATTTAAACCACACCGAAACCTTATCTAAAAAAGAAACTGCCATCTTTCTTTATTTTGAAACTAGCAGAAAAAAGAAACAAGCAACTAGAAGAAAAAAGATTAATATGTTTTGATAAATGAAATATTTTGTATGTCTTTATATCGATTTTAATTTTATAGAATGAATTTAAATACACTATATAATTTATATTGAATAATTATTTTCTTGTCTCAATGCTTAAGTGCAAGCTTATCGAACACGATCGTGCCACCGATAAACGAAACTACTATGGATTGACAAATGAATAATTCACTTATATTCCGATATATTCACAAACTATTTAGATATAAATAAGATAAATAACAACTGGTTTATACGTTATTTTTGTATTTAAATGAATCCTATCGGATTCTTTATTACCCACTTACAAAAAATTTAATTGATTTCTGAAAGAAATTTTAATAGAATCTACATTAAGTTTAAGATTACATTTAATAGACAGATTATATTTTTCAATCAAGAGTGAACCTTTTTTTGTAATTTATTTTATATCAATAGTTTATAAAAATGTAATCATGAATCTGGTCATAGAGCTATTTTAATTTAGACATACTTTTTAATACAAATACACTGAAGTAACTTTATAAATTATGGCAATTTTTAAAATTATATTATATAATATCAATTAATTATTAATACAATTCGATAAATATTCGTATATTTGACATTTAAAATTTGACAAAGCGATATCACATAATAGGTTGTTGTTATATACATACTATTATAAAACTGTTATTAATGTCATTTTTTTTAATTCAATTAGTTTTTATAGTTACATCTTACAGATTTTATATAGAGTTAAAAAATTAAATTGAAAAAGTGTAATTTTTGAAAATTATTTTCAATATCTTATTTCTATCAATATTGAAAATTTTCTAAACAAATAATTGAAACATATAAATAAAGTAATGTAATAAATATAATAACTAAAAAGGAAAAATATATAAATATTAAATATTTAATATTTTTATGTAATACCTATATAATAAAAACAAACCTATCTTTATTATCAATCTCATAGAGTACATACACATTTATAGATTCTTATCGATCTGACTTAAATTGGGATTGGCATGATTACCGACAGCAATTTTCTCATTCTAAAATAATACTAGTTCTAATCGAAGAGCTGTTTTCACTATTTTTAATTCGGTTACCTGATATATTTAAAATAATTGAACTTTCGCCGAATTCAGTTTCATGTTTACTTAGAATTTCTAATAAATACTTCAAATGTACTTTTAAATTTATTTGATATAGAAACTGAAGTTACCGAAGGATTTTTTAATTCAAATGACATCTTTTAGAATTGTAAATTCTGCGTTACAAAAGTTTATTTTTTGTTTTAATAATTTTGTAATTAATTAATTAATTAATTATATAATTAATTTAATATAATAAAATATATAATATAATTAATATATAATAAATACAATTAATTAATACACAATTAATACCTTTTGAAAATATCTTTGAATTCTGTATGCAAGTCTTTATAGTATTCTCTATTACTTCATCCTAAACTTCAATGTTATCGACACGACTTAAGTCTTAATTTATTTCGGTAATCTTTTATTTTCTTCAAATATACCACATATTTATAATACTTTAATGATAATAGATAATAGAAAATTTACCCATTTATTATGTAATTTCTTTATTTTCTAATAAAAATAATTACGATAGATATTTATCTTAATATAAAACTCTTACAGTAATCCAACCTCACAATCGTGAAATTAAATATAAATCAGAATTTTTACCACAAAGAATTTAAATTATGAAAAAATAAAAAGTTTTTTCCATTAAATAATGAAACATTGTTTAGCATCATGTAAAACTACTCTTGCGTCTGAAAGTTTAACATTCACAGCAAATCAATACGATGCAATTCTTATTTCCTAGGACAATAATATGATTCGTTCTATCTTATTTAACATCTTGTCAACATCTTACTGTTTAATTTATGGGATAGTTTCGGTGTTTTGCTCTACACTACATTCCTTTTAGTTTATCATTATAATATTTATGTAATTATTACATAACTCTACGTTATTGCACTATACTTCCCATAATTCCACTTTCTTTACTCCACCGCTTCTCGCAATACAATTTTCTTGGTTAAGTGATCCCCTACGTACTAACTTTATAACGCACTTGTAATTTTTATTATTTCATTATATAGTAACGAGGACGTCCAAGAAATAAATTAATGTTCAAATTACCTTTTTAGTTTAAAAAAAATGATTAAATTATTTTTAATTAAAAAAATGCAATCTAACAATTATTAGAGAGGTAAGGTGATAATTAAGATAAATAGTAAGTCATCTTATTTTAATGATTAAAAATAGTTTATATTGCATTTAGATACTTATAAAATTTACGAATATTATTATGTAAAGATCGGACAAATTTCAAATAAAGCAGTTGAGTGTGAACTTTTAAGTATTGTAATAGTTTAATAGTTTATTCAATCAATCGCCATATAAATTAATAAAATATTTTGACAAAAAAATATATGTAAACGCTCTTTCAATATGATAAACCATAAAATTCTAACAAAAACTTTAATTTTAGTTTAAAAAGATAATTTAACCAACTCTTTTATTTAAATTAAAAATTATTTGTTTATCTAATTTCGAAATATATAAAAAACTATTAGAGGTATGAAATAAAAAAAGTGAAATATTTATATCAATTGTTCATATACAAATTTGTAAATAATTTAATATATTTATCTTGTATTATAATATAATTATTAAATATAGCACAAACTGAATATTACAAAATTGTATTAGTATATAAAAAAGATTATATATTTATTTGTTAAATTTATCACCCAACTATAAAATAAATGACAAGTGAAAATAATATATATTTTTAATATAAAATGAAAAGTTATTTATGAATAATTTTGTTACATTATACTAGTATTGTGCATTACAGCATTTGCTATATTGCTTATTTATAATTATATATAATCATATTTTGTATACATAATATATTTATTAAAGTTGATATATAAAAATAATATAAATATTTATAGTTTATATCTAAATAATATCTAATTAATCTAACTGATATTTCCACAAAATATGTAAAACAAATTAAAGATATTGTAATAATGTTATTCCTAAATCTTGCATTAAAATATATTAAATTTATATATAATAAAGCACAATGCACATGAGTAATTATAAAATTAATATTATCACTTTAGACTTACAATAGATTGTATAAAAAAGAAATGTTCTATTATTGAGACGAAGGTCAACCATTATATATTCTTTTATACCTATTTTTAAAGTTATACAGGGTTTTTTTTGAAAATAATTTAATAGATCTTCATCGAGCATCTAAAAATTTTAATTTTATATTTAAAATCGAATTAACAATATTGATCCATAAGAGTTAATATCATAGCAATTTCTTTTATTATATAGTTTTAATGATTTTATTTATCCAAATCTTTTTTCAATTTATATATTTCAAAATATATATATGTATTCGGAATTACAAGGTTGTTTTAAATTTTTATTTTTATTTTTAAATACAGGTTAAAAAATGAAAGAAAAGACTATATTAACTATTAATATTATAATGTTACTACAGGTCCTTCGTAAAATGAATTACTTGAATTACAAATAAAAATTATTAATTGTTCTTTTATTAATACATAGATATTTTAATTCATAATCAAGTTAATTCATTTATTGAAAGAAGTATAGTATAAATTATTGTATTAATCCAGCTATAATTTTCATATATATATATATATATGTAAAGTAAAATAAGTTAAAAAATAATAATTAAATAAATACAATAATTTTTTAATGATTATAATAACAGATTTTTTTAATATAAGCACTAATAAAATGTATGAGTCTACATGGTAATAAACATTTATAACTACGCATATATAATATTATTATAAATATTATAATAAAATTGAAAATAACAAAACTTTTTAAAAAGTTTCTTGTTGTTGTTGAGTGTTTACCACTTTAATTTTTTACTGATATACAAATAATGTATTACAATCTGTATTTTTCTTAAATTAAAATATTATTTTATTTTTTCATTTCTTTGGTTCTGAATATTTTTTAATAAAATACATTTCTGTGAAAGGTCTCGATTACTCCTCTAAAAATCACAATTTTTAACAATGCAAAGTGTAAATAATATAATTAAAAATGAGGCTTAAACAGGCAAGAAGATATTTGGTGTAATAAAATATCCGAAGATCACTGTGTATAAAATAGTCCTACAACCGAAAATATAAGTAAACATAACATGTAAAGTACTATATTTTCATAATAATGAATTAAATAGATTTGAAATTATTAGGAAATATTTTTAAAGCATTAAACATCCAAATTTAAAGAGGACAATATTTTAACACATAAGGGCATACAACTAATTAAGATTTATTAGTCTAAAATTTTATTTTTAAGAAAACAATTCGTATAAAACCTTAATATCTTTCATTATTTATTTATTTGAGAATAAAAAAAAAAAAAAAAATTTATAAGATCAAATATTAAAATTTTCAAATTCCTTTTATATAGTAAAGTTAGGAAAGTAATCAAGACTTAATTACGTTAGCCCAACACAAAAAAGGTCTGTCCGGATTTTTCAAGTTCTTTTTGCAGGCTTAAAAATTTAATTACGTAAAGTTTTTTAATTAACTTTTAAAATTTTTATATAATTGTTATAATTTATATATATATATATATATATATATATATATATATAAATATATATATATATATAGAGAGAGAGAGAGAGAGAGAGAGTATTTTAAAGATTTGTACAATTATAATAATTAATGTCTGTGTGCGTGCACATAAATGTATAAATACATTATATTAAATTATTTGATATTTTATCGTATTTTGATGCTCACGCATATATTTTATCTTCCCTGAAAATAAATGGCTTCCCTGTAAATGTCTAGATTCTTCTGTGCTTTGCTATACTCCGGTGTACTTATGAGACGCAACGTGGCGCCTCTCACTGGTAGGAATGAAGCGCGTGTAGGCGTCGCGCGCACTTTCAGGCAATTCAGGCTTGGGAAGTCCTCGCGAAGCTTAGAGATCTCTAGTCGACGCGCGTCTGTCCGACGTTGAAGATAGCGCTTGTACAAATATTTTTTGTCGACATGGACGGCGGCTGGAGCGCTAAAAATTGGCGATTGTGAGAATACAAGTTCCGTCGGGCATGATCATGTGATGAAACTATTTTTGTTGTTCCGCGTTTTTTCTTCTTGCAGTCGATTTGGTAGTCGTCGACGGGGAAGGCGAAAAGGTGTTCTCTGTGCTTCCCCCACTACTTTCTCTTTCTCTCATTCTTTCGCAGTTTCTCTCTCTCTCTCTCTCTCTCTCTCTTTCTCTTTGTCTCCTCTTTTTTTCTTACTATCTGGTTAAACTTCTTTCTATATATGAGAAGATTGTGAGATCGTTAACTTATTGTGGACACTAATACGATATGGACTTCGTAATACTCAAGGTAAAGTTATTCACGATGAATTATTTAGCTTAAACTTTATCATTGTTTTATTCTTTATACTTGATTAAATAGTTAAAAAAAAAACAACACTTATACAATATAAATTTAGGCAATTTGTAATAAAAACTTGAATTGAAATACTTTAATATTTGTTCATAATTTTATCAAATATTTCTGTTTGATAGATATATTTATTTAATATCCTTTAATTGAAAATGTCGAATTAAATACTCTTATGAATTTTTATAAATTTTAATTTAATTTGATATTATAAATGAAATATTTTAGTTACTTATGTTTTTTTTATTTAGAAAGGACTTTTTTATACCGATTATTCAGGATCATTTTGAACATAAATACTGTTTCTAATAAGTTATTTATTGAATTAAAAATAAGCTTCACATTTTATGATATTTCAAATAAGCATATATTGTATCATTTTATTATTTATTTTATTTTTTTACTCTTTATTGAAATTAATATATAATGCTTGTGACTCATAATAATTTAATAATATATTAAAATATATATTTATATAATAGTCTCAGTTAATAGCAAATACGATTTCAAGGTGTATTAGCAAATTCATGCAATGTATATTTTAATAAAAATATAATATTTTTATATTTGAAAAATATATATTTGTATAAAACACCCTTAAAGATTCAATTAAAAATATTAATATAAATAAACATTTATGCCATAAAATCGTAAGTAATTATATTTTTATTGCGTAATTATAGAATTAAGACGTAAGTATTAACGATGTAAATCATGGTTAAGAAATTAATTTTTTAGTAATTATTTAAATTTGATATACTGTAATATAAATATAATGTTACAAATTCAATATTATTTGTTGATTATAATTTTTTCAAGTTTTATAATAAATTTATAACCAATAAAAATTGCACTAAAATTATATTTGTAAAATATAATAAATTATTATAGTAAAATAGAGTTAAATTGTTATTGTTCATTTATTGTTTATATATACAGATAGAATATTTATGATAATTTGTATCTTCCTTTGCCTAGTTTGTAAGATATTTTCATATTATTTTTAATTTCAATTAAAATTGTAAATGCACATGCATATATTACATTTGAAATAAAATTTTCGTATATATATCTAACGATATTAAAATATTTTCATTGCAGTCAGAAATATTTTATCTTTGTAATAAGAATTCGATTTAAATTAATTAGAGAATAATGATAATCGGTTTCCAGCAGCACAATTGTATATTATATAGATGATTAAAGCATTAGTATATTCGGTATAAAACTTATAAGTTTATAAAACTTATAATTTTATATTATTATAAAAGTCATTAATAAGTATTATTTTGGTTACCAAACACATTATGTGTTTTCCGTTGATATAATTCGTATCTGTTTTTTAATTATTTTGTTATTTAAACAATAAATTCAATAATATACCAAAGAGTATGATTTGAAAATAACCAATTATATAAATTCCAATAAATATATATGAACTAATTTAATAAATTAATTAAATTCATATTTAGAAAATAAAATTTATGTGATACATTTGATCAAGTTTATTGTATTTGATTTTATTGCATGAAACTTAAATATAAGACTTATAAAATTGATAATTATATTTAATTGTTAAATAATTTCGATATTACAATTTTGATAGTACATTTTTAAAATGATTTACATATTAGTTTTTTGTTCTAATTTTTAAAATTTAATAGTCATTATAAAATTTTAATAACAAAAATTAGTTCTTTAAAAACATTACAAAATTGAAATATAATATTTCATAAGTTCAATTATCTTGGATAATAGTAACATCTTAGTAGCTTTAACTTAAAAAGGTAGTAATTAATTTAATTTATGTAAAATTAATCGAATGAATTGAAATTTATTTATGAAATATATAAAATCCATATTATTAACAGAGAATTTTATATTATATTACGAATAAAAATGAAAGACGACATTCTTTGCTAAAACCCTAAACTGATTATTCCACACGTTTTAAATGCTTTTTTTAATTTTCAACAGAAATGTACATATATATATATTGGTGATAATACACAAAATATGAATATATTTATTCTATTTTAATAATTGTAGAATAATTAATTATATCAACAATAAATATATTTAAATATTTACTGTGTACGTATCATTTAAAAATATTACATATGTTCTGTTTCAAGTGTCCATACTGTACTTATTTGAATTATATTCTTTATAAGGATTTAATAAATCAATATATCTTGTATTTTATCAACATTTTAATTTTTTTTCTTACATGTAGCTTAAATATATTTAATGATATTTTTAAATTATAAAAATGTATTTTTTATTATCTTTTTGTCTTTCATTATTGTTTCATTAGATTTTATATAGGTTTTGTAAATAATTTTGTAATTATTCATACATCATATGATCAATGAATTATACATTTTGTATTTATTGAATTTTTCTTAATATAAATATTTTAATTCAGACATTTCGTAACTACTTATGATATGTTAAAGTTTTTTTTAATTAGTGATATTTTTATTAGATTAAGCATTAATTCTGTAAGCTGAGTATTAATGGGTATTTCTTTTGTTATTCTTTTAATTCTGAAATTTGATACTTTATATCGTGGTTAAGATATATGAAAATTTTAATTAAATAAAGTTAATACGTTTTGATAGGAAATAAAATATTACTATGTTATTTGGTTTCTTTATACAAATTTCTTAATATTATAAAAAATAATTATAAATGATAAATGTTTTAGGCTATGTATTATAAGAAGTTATATTCATAAATAATAAAAGAAAGAATAGCTTGCAAAAGTCTCAATTGAAAAAACTGCTTATCAATAAATAATTGATTCATTAAATATACGGTATAATATGAAATAGTATTTGTTTTTGTGTTTGTTGTTCTGTAATAGGAATAAAAAATGCAAACTGTAATTGTTCTAATTTTCTCAAATTCTTTATAACAAATTATTAAACAACGATTTATAGTTCGAGATTTACCTAGAAAGATTTGAAAACTAGTATACATTCTAAAAGATTCAGGCTTAAAATAACCAATAATTGTCTGAATATTATTAAAATTAACTTTTCATTAATAGTATCTGTAAATAGTTCAAAAATGCAATTTAAATTATACCTAATATTTAAAAAAAAAAACTTAAAAAATTTTTCAAAAGTAACTGCATAATGTAATAATTTAAAATATCTTGTAAATTTATATAAAATTAAAAAACTATTTAAATGTTAATCCTGGTTGAAAACTTTTATATTTAGGTTATATTTGAAATTATATTAAACTACATCATATAGATAACTTTAGAAATATTTTGAAAAAATCTCAATATTTCAAAAATGCTAATTACAATATATATAGTTAAATTTATTTAATATAAAATATTAGTAGGCATATTATTTTTGACTATATTCTTAATTCTATTATGTATATGTACGATGAAAAAAGTATGTTAGGTATAATATGATGTATATAATGTTAGAAACTAAATGTTTACCAATGAATAGTCGTGTACATTGGTTGGTCTTTTAATGTCTGGTATCATAGTTACTGTGAAAGAGCAAAGGTTTATCCATCTTTCTTACTCACTCTTGCATCTCTTTTTTATACGATCTTTTCCTTTAGCTCGAACTAATATGGGCTTGCTTTCACTTCTGACATGCAGCTCGTATTATTCCTCAACTTGACTGTAACGGTCTCTTTTAACCAAGCCTTTAAAAGCTGTTGATACTGGCTGTACGACAGTCCATCTTTACTTTTAACGACTTATAAAGCGTTATGAGAACGTATTGATTTAAGTAGTCAAAGAGAAAACTGACCTTTATAGAGCATACGATTTATACTTCAAGAAAGCTCAGTACTGACGTTAGTTGTAAGATTCAAATTTTAATAAAAAAAAAAATATATATAAACAATTAATAGCTTTTATTATACTTATATACAACACTTAACCAAGCTATGTAGAAAATCTAAATAATAATTCTTATAATAGTGCTATTTACCATGATTAAAAATCAACCTTTTCCGTCATTTAATTTTCTGGATCTTGCAAACTATGTGAACCTTGAAATACAGATTCAATCTACACACTTTTTATTTCAGAAACAGTAAATTTTACTTTATTCTCTGAATATGATTATTATGTTTTAAAATATTTTAAATTAACTCCATTATATACTGTACAGCGGAATAATAGTTAGAATAAATGCATTGATAATTATTTTAATTATTACGTTATATATATATATAGCTATTGAAATAAATATTTTGTGTATTTATTAATTTTAATTATAATATAAATAATGAATATATTCTTTTATCAATTTATTTGAATGAAATCAATTACATGTATTTAAACAAATTAAATAATACTTAAAAAACGATAAATACTTTTTAATTTAATTTCATCTACTAAAAAAGTTCCTGTATTCGAATAGTAAGAATATTTATGTCTATACCTAGCTTATGTTTTATGAAATCTTTACTTTATGCATAGATGTGTAAAACCATTATGAATATTAGTGTATTTTTCTTCATTTAAGGAACGGCTTTGTGATTGAGTAATTGTTTTGCAATTTAACTGGTTGTAATTGTTTTTATATTTTCATTGCACATCGCAGTATTGCACACACTAGATTGCATCTTTATATAGACATTCTTGAGTATAATATCTTACTTAAGATAGTAATAATATGAGCAACACACTTATAATTTTTACTGTGTCCGATGTCATCGGCTATGGGTATTTAAAGATTTTCCAACAAAATAAAGTTGCAATTACGATGATTTCGGTTTTATGATAATATACTAGAAAATGTTATTGATTTAATTAACATTAATATATAAAATAAAATATTTAAAAATAATTTAAGTAAAAAATTTAATACTTAAAGACCTAGATTTACAGAATTAATGAGATTAAGTAATTGGTTCAGTGGAAGTTAAAATACAATTATCTAAGATACATGTAT